GCTTGCTTGCTTCGCAAAGGGCGATATATTCGGCTTCAGTGGTGGACGTCGCGACACATCGTTGCTTCGCCGAAGTCCAACTTATCGGCCCTATATTCAACATGAATATATGACCCGACACCGATTGTCGGTCAGTGTGGTCGCCTGCGTAATCCGAGTCGCTGTAGCCGCGTAGATAGGGGGGCATATCGCCCCCTATTCCTCCGAAGGAAAGTCGTAAGCTCCTGGTCTTCTTTAGGTAGCGTAGGGCGTGAAGAACTCCGTTCCAATTCCGTACTGTAGGCCTGGAACAGTTCTGGCTGAGCTGCCCCCAGGCATACGCGATATCGGGGCGCGTGCAGACTGCAACCCAAGCCAAGGATCCAACGCCCCGTTGATACAGGTGTTGATCGGCTTCAGGCTCACTGCCATCGCCCTTGAGGAGCGCTGCGCGATCAGTCGTCGCAGGAGTCGAGCACGGGGCTGCTTGCTCAAGCCGGAAGCGCCTGACGATCTCGTCGATATATCCTTCTTGATCCAAGAATATTCGACGATACTTGCGGTCCCGCGTCACCCTGATACCAAGTATCATATTAACTTCGCCAAGGTCCTTGATCTTCCAGCGTCCCTGGATCCCTTTGACGACACGATCGATATCTGACGGATCCTTGCTCATGATCAACATATCATCAACGTACAGACCCACCAGTATCCTTCGATCAGCTGTCGTGAAGACACTTGGTTCGCTGAAAATTGGCTGGAAACCCAGCCCACCGAGGCCTTTGCAGGCCTCAATGTACCACTCTCTCCCAGACTGCTTCAATCCGTAGAGCGACTTCCGTAGCCGTAGGACATAGCCCTCCGGACAATATAAACCTTCAGGAGGCCTCATATAGACCTCCGCATGTAGGTCTGAGCGTGGATACGCGCTTACGACATCGATTTGCCGAATATCCATGTCCTCGTAGGCTCCAATCGCCAGGAGGAGTCGAAGAGACTCAGCCCGAATTGTCGGTGAGAATGTCTCAAGGTAATCGTCGCCAGGGACTTGACCGAAGCCCTGGGCGACAAGTCTTGCCTTGAATCGGTCAAGAAGGCCAGTGGGCGTGTATTTGACATTGAACACCCAGCGGCAACCCAGAACTCTCTTTCCTTTCGGTAGCTTCGCACGCTCCCAAGTCCCGAGCGACTGGAGCTGTGCGAGCTCTTCCTGGACAGCGAGAGTCCAGTCTGCACCATGTTCTGGATCGTTGACAGCCTCTGGGTATTTGTCCGGGACTAGCAGTTTGGCAGGTATAGCGTACGACGCCTCAAACGCCTCCTCGAACGGCCTCGTTGGTCGTCGCTCTCTATCGCTTCGCCGGACGCTAAAATCCTCAGCAGGAGAGCTTTCCTCAAGAGTCTCCGCCTCCGTGAGGAGTTGGTCGGTCGCAGATCCGGAGTCGTCTTCTTCTTCTGGGAGGCCAGTAGATTCGTCGTTTTCAGCGTTAGGGGCCTTGTCCTCGTCCCGCTCTATCGACTGGACCGGTGGTAGCGGCACTATAGGGTGCAGTAACCCTTCACTGCTCCGTGTTACCCCCTGGATAGGGGTTGCATTTCCTGATCAGGCAAATCGCTGACTAGAATATCATCATCAGCATCGTGCAGGCCCCCTATCAGAGTACTGTTCTGATGGCTTCGCCGATCAACAGCCTCTATAGAAGGCTCCCTCTCGAGGTAGGCCTCCATGGGGTCAAACCCCACATCCTCAATAGGCCCCTCGTTATAATTGTCAAGATCAAGCCGTTGATCTTCGACAAACCTCACTGAGGTCGCGATTATAATCCGATTGCCAACCGGGTCATATAATCGGTACTGTTTCGAGGTTGCCATATAGCCAACCAGTGCAGTCCGTATCGCGTTAGGCGCGAGCTTGTCACCGTTCCTCTGTTCTTTTGAGAGGTTTGCGTATGCGACGCAACCCCAGACACGGAGGTGGGCTACAGACGGCTTCTTGCCGCTGTACGCCTCTTCTGGCGATTTGCCCTCAGGCCCGATTGGCAGCCTGTTCCGTAGATAGGAGGCTGCCATCACCGCCTCAGCCCAGAGCTTTGTAGGTAGGCGCGCGTAGGCGAGCATCGCCCTGATTAGGGCCACCAAGGCCCGATTCAGTCGCTCAGAAACTCCATTCTGATACGACGTATACGGCGTTGTAAACTCGAACAGAATGCCCTGGGAACTTCCGAGGTCCCGTTCGAGGGCCTTGTATTCGCTGCCGTTGTCGCAGCGTACGACTTTGATCTTTCGGCCAGTCTCAAGCTCAACGCGAGCCCTAAACTCTGTAAAAATTGCCCGTAGCTGCCCTGTCGACTTCATGACATAGACCCAAGTCTTCCGTGTGTAGTCGTCTGTAAATGTCACAAAATAGACGTTGTCTCCGCCAAGTGACGGCGTCCGGTACGGCCCCCAGATATCGCTGTGGATCCTGTTGAGGGGGGCCGTTGCATGCTCTGATGCCTTCCGATTGATAACCTGCGTACTCTTGTTGAGTAGGCATTCCCTACACGAGTCCGCAAGGTCACCAATTAGCCCTGGCAGTCCGTCAACTGCTGTATGGGCCAGCCTCAAACTCCTTGAGCTCAGGTGCCCGAAGCGCCGATGCCAAAGCATGGCTTCCTTTGGTGACATCGCCACTGCGCGCAGCGCAGTGACGGCGCCTTCCTAGGTGCCGTCGAGGACGTAAGAGCGTCCAATTCGATCGGCTACGCCGATAACTTCCCCCCTAAGCTCAAGGAGCATCTTGCCGCCACTGGTCGTCCTTGTCATGATCCCCCTGTCCTGGAGATGGGAGACCGAGACGAGGCTTCCAGCGAGCTTCGGTACGTGCAGCACTTCATGAAGCTGAATACGACGTTTGCTGCCCTTGACAGTTATTTCGAAGCTGACAGTCCCTTCGGCGACAGCCTGGATTTCCATCCCGTTGGCCAATCTGACCGGAATCGGCTTGTCTAGGGCAATATAGTCAACGAACGCCTCTTTGGCGTACGTCATATGGCGGGAGCAGCCCGAGTCCATAATCCAAGCCTTGCTTTGGGCTTGGACGTCGCTAACCCATCGGGTATCGACGCCACAGAGTTTGTCAACTGCGGCGATCCAGGATGTCTCAGTAGTAGGAGCGGCTTGGATGCTGGCAGTGTTTGCCTCCTCCGGTAGAGGCGGTGATAACCCCTTTCCACCGCCAGGGGCAGCGAGAGGTCCAGTCGATGGCCCTGCTGTCTTTGGCTCTCCTCTCTTCTTCGCGTTGCAGTCCTGGCGAATATGTCCAGACTTCCCGCAGTGATAGCACGTACGGGTGTCTTTCTGAGAGGACTTGCCTCCGCTGCCCCGTCCACCCCCTTTGCCCCTTGTACTTCCAGTATCCGTAGAGGCTTGCCGGGCAGATTCGGTGACCGACTTTGAAACCTTGGTCTGTTCCTCAATATCGACAAACTGGTCGATGATGTCTTGGTAATCTGTGATTTTTGCCGCCCTGATCTGGGCGCTAGCAATGTCATATTTGCTGCCACGGCTTCTCATAATCGCCAGGAGCCGGCTGACCTTCCTCGAGTCCGAGGGCCTGTCTTCTGGCTCTATCGCTGCGATGTCGTCCTGGAGCTGGTTTAACATCGTGGCGATGTCAAATACCGGTGTAGACGCTGGCGGAAGGTAGCTCCCGAAGGCCTCGTTTTTTAAGTCCAGCTGCTGCAGCCCGTCGCGGGCGTGCATTTTCTTGAGCTTGTCCCAGACCTCCCTGGCTGTCGAGAGACCTATAACCCGGTTGACAATCGACGGGATGCAACTTTCTAGGATGATCCTCCTAGCCCTGTTGTCGCGGAGGAAAGCGAGCTGTTCTTCGCGTGTAGCGGCAGCCTCCTCAGTTTCTTCCTTTTTTGGCTTGTCCAGCTCATATTCGAGCGTGAACTTGTTGTCGATAGCGCTCCAAACCTTCCTGTCGATAAGCTCGATCTGGATCTGGAGGGCCCAATTCCGATAGTTCGGACCAGACAGCTTCTGGATCCGGGACCTCTCGATGTGTTCCGACTCCATTTTTTTGTGAGCCGTTATCACTTTCCGGCTTGTGGAGCTGAACTGCCGCAGCCAAGTCGATGGCTTACTTTGCGGGCTTCTTTAGACTGAGTATTACCGGTGGGTAGCTCAGGCTCTCACTTTATCGATGTGAGACTTCGGAATCAATTCTTTGGTTCAAATGCGAGGCTTCCTGAGCGTCGCCGGGCTCATAACCTGTTGGTGGAAGGCCCGAAATATCGCGACCGCGCGCAAATCGTGCGGTGTGTTTGGTGACCGGACCTTTGAGCTTTTGCGCAACGGGCAGGAAAACTCGACAATAGACTACAGTATATAGAATGAATAGATCAATTGAATTACTACACTACCTATGGAGCCTACGTATTATTTATGTCTTTTCGGAGGGCCTACCCAAATGCCCTGAGTAACAGAAGGGTTTGGGCCTGAAACCCAATGCGCCGGAGTTCCGAGGCAATCTGCTCACGCCAAGCGCCAATCGGGGAGCCCGACGATTGCACTGGGGAAAAGCTCCCATTCTCTTTCCCTCAACAGAAAGGGACCTCACGTGGTGGCACGTGATGGCCTTCCTTACAGCACGTCCCCATACCCTTCGGGAGGTCTTAGGGCCGCGGGCTACACCCATGTCCCGCTAGACGTAAATAAATATCATCATCATCATCATCATCATCATAGGCGAGTTGAATACTGTAGTCTTTTTGGCTCAGTGGGATGTAGCGTGAGCGTAACCATACATCATTACAAAATATGACCACATCCCAAAATGAAGCATGTACGACAGTCAATGGAAGATGGCTATTGTCAATACTAGAGAAATTGCAAGCAAGCAGCATCATTTGTCATTAGCGGAAATAATAAAGCCTAGCATTATCACATCACACGTGAATTTCTTTTCCGCCACTTCCAACCTTCCCCCCTTTCTTTTTCCGCCACTTCCAACCTTCCCCCCTTTCTCTTCTCGGCAACATCATTCTGACTACCTGCTTCTATCTGAAAGCTCAAGGGTGTTCATTGCCAACTGTACCATCCTCCCAGTCACTAAGAGGGAAGTACTCAACGACCTCCGGAGGGTGCGTCTCATTCCCAACAACACTCCCTCCAAAAGTAAGGTACCCTTCCACACCTGGCTTATCAATCAATGAGAGCACTTCAGTCTGGTTCCCCATGACCCAGGCCTGTAATAAACGTGTTAGTAACTTTTCTACAGGACCAATTATCCATAAAAAGTTTAAAACTCACAGTGTTCATGCCCCAAACCATATGAGGTAGAAGATGACAGTGAATCATCCAAACACCTGGATGATCAATCCTAAGTCTCCAGGCCCTCCATGCCGAGAGTGTGCCATTTGGTGATTTTCCCCCGTACATATATAGGTTTGTGGTACTATCCAAAGATTAGTGTTCATGTTTCTGGTAATGCTCTCACCCAATGAATGCCCCAGAATACTGGAAGGTAGAGGAATTCGGGGACATGGACGGGGATACATACTCTCTCCTAATGGGATGTCCTATAGAACTGCGCCATCTTGCCTCGTTCTCCTCGCGATTGTATACACCCTCTCCAGAACCCAAATCCCAATAATGGGCCCCATGAGCGTGCCATGGGTGCGTCTCTGTCCCACCACCCGCAGAGCCGGTGCCTTGAACCACAATCTCAATCACCTCTCCTATGTCTGCTGGGAAAGCATACGTCACCGGGTCCAAACCATCATGCTGGAGAGCGCGTTCCATGGATGGCCAGTTCGAACCGCCATCTTTGTACAGACTGACAAGATAAGGCTCGTGCACAAGACCTTCATTCCAGGTGTGGCCATTTATCGTGTAGAGCAGGCCACCGCCTGGAATATCGAGGTGAGATGTGATATTGACTCTCCGAGTCACTTCTTCTGCGGTTGGGAAATCAAGTGCATTGTGTGATGCGGCAGGGTGTTTTGAATTGTTGTAGGGGCGAAGTGAGTACTCTAGCCAGTAAGGGTCCGATGGTGGTAAGGTGATGGGATCAGAAGCTGGAGGATAAACTGCAGGGGTGGTATCGGTGTGAGGAGGGCCATAGTTGAGGACCGCGAACGAGCGGGTAGGGGGTCCAAATTCGCGACTCTCCAGTTGTATGTAGTAATATTGCTTTTCTGGCCTTTTAAGAGTGTCGAGGAGGAAACTGAACCGTTGGCCTGGACTGATTTGCATAAATGGGGTCTCAAACTTGTCGGTATAGGCTCTATTCATTGTTAATTCCATTGGCAGACATGATAAACTGAGGAGACATACCCATCAGCTTCAATCACTTGGAGAGTCTCATGGCCCTCGATGGCCAGAATGTCAAACGATAAGCCAGTTCCGCCAATAAGTCTCACTCTGTAAGTTTTCCCGGGTTCAACGTCGATGACGGACAACTCATCGTCGCATCGCTTGCCTATCTCCGATGAGACAATACCACCTCCTTTCCCGTTGATAAGTACCATTTCCTGGGCCCTTTCGTATTCCATAGGGACGGCAAGTAATGCGTGCTCAATAAATTCATCTGTATCCGGGAAGACATCTTGTAGGAAGACGATAAGATCATCATGGTAGTGGTACGGGGGTTTATCTTTATCCTCAATCTGTCATATATCAGTACAAGAAAGAATCGACTTAAGCGAATAGAAAAGTGTTCCTTACAATTAACGGACCCGTAGCAGAGATAGCCTGGAGACCGACGTGCGAATGGTAAAAATATGTTCCCGCAAAACCAATTGGCACGTAAAGCTCATAATCAAAGAAATGGTTAGGAGGAATTGGCCATTGGGCGGCCTGAGGAGTTCCATCAGAGAATGGGGCTGTTGCCATTGTGAGGCCATGCCAATGCTGTTTGATAGTTAGTTGAAAGTGGCTACTAATTCTCCATATCCGGAGTGGGCAGAAGGAATCTGCGCGGAATCTTACCATCGTAAGGTTCTGATGAGCAATATCATTGTACACTCTAATCCAAACTGTCTGGCCTTCCGTGAATCTGAGGGCAGGCCCTGGACTCGTGCCATTGACAAGCAAGATTTCCTTCTCTGGCACGCAAGACTGTTTTCTCATCTCTTCGGTTACTCTGAGGACACCATCTGGGATAAAACCATCACCATGAGTCGTTGTAGCGGCCACTCCGATCAACCCTGCCGCGAGAACAGATATACATGGGAGGAAGAAACGCATCTTCAAACTTCCAATGAATGGGAGGTGTTCTTAGAGAATTTGAGAAGATTTGAGCAGATAAAGAACGCAGTGCAACAAATCAAGGCTTATATACCTTTTCCTTGCATTTTGCTACAAGACACAACCTATCCGACTCCCGATGTTAGAACCAAAAACACATGCACGCGGACAACTTGTGCTGGGGGGTAAGAACCAGTATACCTGACACGATCCGTTCCAAGACAGGAGTATACTGTAGTTACGAGGGAAGTAGATCCCGACATTTTCATCCTACGTCTGTAAAAATCTTATTCGTTTACGATTCACGAGGCCGATTACTCGTGCGGCCCAAACGTCCGAGTAGGGGAACTCGCGCAGAAACGTGCGGCCGACTGAGATTCAAATCGAAGGGTATAATTGGCTACGTATCAGTCTGCGGGCACGAGATCCCTAAGGTGACTTTTGGAGCCTAGCGTATGGCTTAAGTCTCAACCTGAGTGTTGCTGAGACCTGGGATCACTGCCGCATCCGTTATCTTCAGTTCCACCTTAGCTAACATACGCAACTCCATTCCCTAGAGAACAAATCCCTTTTCATCACCTGCAGATCTGGGTTACACTTCAGCTTTGTTTAGGTACGCCATGAAGTATTCATACTCATGCATCTTGATCCAGAATTTGCTGATAGTTTTGGCTCAGCTCATGAGACATTCTGGGGGCTTTTTTTCCCGTGGGTCTCACTACATTATACTACGAAACCTAGCAATCATACCCTAAATTGTTGTGTGACTGGAACGTAACATAACGTTTGCAGCGGAGGATTTTAATTATGCTAGGTGAAAGCCTCAAGCTTTGCCTTTCCGAGACACAAGTCCAAAAAGGTTAAGTTGCACGCTCCTAGCTCGGACGGTTGTTTACCCTAACTAACCCCTGAAGCATCGTCGTTCCCATTTAGTATCACGCTAGAGTACAGTTACACTAAACTTCCCTTTTTGGATAATTCCTTCCTATCTAAGAAGTCCTCGCTAAGTCGTACTCTACTTTCGTAGCTCTCCCAGAAGGTACCCACGGTGGGGATTCAGCCCAACTTTATGTGCCCGCTCGGGATGCTGACCCGATTAACGGATGGGGACAATTCTTGGTGTTTACCGGTACCCTGACACACCCCAAACCCAAAGCACCCAAAGCACGTGAGAAGGTGGTCGCAGCCAGATTTTGAGGGAGCAAGTTACCCACTGTCTGTATCAACGGCTACTCCAAGAACTTGAACTGGTTCAACCCTCGATTGTTCTCACGTTGTCTCAACGTTCGACCGTCAATCGCCATTATGGCTCTCCAACTCTGGGAGGTTTGCATTGCAGCATTTGGCTTGGGCTGGCTGGGTTTATTTCTTTACAGAGCAACATTAGCACCCTTGTCAAAACTTCCTGGGCCATGGTACAGCCGATTCTCTGATGTGATTCTCATGTACAAAGAATTCACAGCTCATCGTCGAGTGTATATTCACGAGTTGCACAAGAAGTTTGGGCCTGTTGTTCGATTGGGCCCCAATGAGGTATCCTTTACATCCGTGGAAGCTCTGAAAGAGATCTACCAAAGTGGTGGGAGCGGATATGACAAGACCGAGTTTTACAATTTGTTCATACAGTATGGAATAAGGTGGGTAGTTATAACTTATTCAGTCAAGGATCTGGTTAACTGAAAAAAAGGACAACGTTCTCAACACTGCAGAAACGAAAAGTAAGCTGCCTTCCAACCCTCATACAATCCCCCCAACTGACGAAAGCAAAGCATGATCAAATGAAACGATACATTGCGGGATCATATGCCAATACAAGCATTATGCATTTCGAAGTTGTGGATGGTATTCAAGAACGAGTAAGGGCATTTTTGAGACAATGCGAAGAAGCAGAAAAGCCAGCCATAGATTTCTACGTAAGAATCGCCAATTGCACTTTCAGTGACAACAAAATTGACTGGTCTAGGTTTATCTGCATTGTTTTGCCATGGATTGTGCCTCGTTCCATCTGCTTCATCCCCATGGAACCAAATCAATTGAGGGTAAAGATCTCCATTTGATGGAAGAGTACTCATTTGGCGATACTTTAAGAAGTTCGTACTCTCAAAATCCTTCACAGGAAACAGTTCTAACAGCATAGCAGCAAAGTTACTTCGATATCGTTTGCCAACTATAACACGTTGGCTGGAGGAGATCTTCCAACAGAAATTGGAATCAAAAATTGGCCAGTACGTAATAACGGCGTGCGAACAGACTGATTCCGGAGACCACAGTCTGGCGTACAAACTTAAGAATAGTAAGGCGGAATTGCAGCAAATTCAAGTCGCTGCGGAGTGCATGAACCATCTTTCAGCAGGTATTGATACAACTGGTGACGCTTTGTGCTTCTTGATGCACCAATTGTCTCTGCCCGGGAGTCATCACATCCAAGACAAACTTATTGCTGAACTTTCTTCCAACAAAGATAAAGGTCTTGATGACTTGCCATACTTGGAAGCAGTCATCAAAGAGGGTCTGAGGTGTTTCCCTCCCATTCCCATGTCACAGCCGCGGTGTGTCCCCTCTGGCGGCCGCATCATCGACGAATATTTCTTTCCCGCGGGGGCTATCGTCAGCTGTCAGGCTTGGAGTGTCCATCAGTTGAACCCACATATTTTTGATAAGGGTGATCAATTTATCCCAGAAAGATGGCTTGATTCAAAGGCTGCCGTTGAGATGAACAGGCTATTTTTCTCATTTGGAGCAGGTGGGCGATCTTGCACGGGCAGACAGTAAGTTTAAGACTTTCACGAACGGAACACTCACTAACAGAACACTAGTCTTGCAACGGTTGAAATGAAATGCCTGCTCAGTGAGCTATACTCTCGCTACAAAACTAGAATCGCCCCGGAAATGAAAGGAAGCATGGAATTGTATGACCAGGCAATTTCTACTCGGCCTTTAGATCAGACTTGCTTGTTGGTCCTTAAATCTATACCGAGTTTAGAGCCCTGAGTTCTGTACTGTGGGTTTGGGAGGCGGTTGGCATAGCATGTTGTTGGCTTGTAAACATGAACGTGCGAAATAGACTGCGCCTGTTATATAGAATCAATAGATCGGTCAAAAGGTGCAACATAAATATTGGCGGTTCACAGAATGGCCTTCTTTCTCGAAAGTATAACAAATGGTGCCATGTTTTGGGTTTTGTATGATATTCAATTGCCTCTCTTTCAGTTCTTAAGCAAAGACTTGATCCCGAGATAATTCATCGTTTACAATTGTATGCTCCTAATCTAGCTGACACTCGATACAGGCTTCTGCTTCGCTCCCTCTCCAGATCTTCTTGATTCCCAAGCCACTTTTTGCAAGTAATTTCTTCCACTGACTTTCAGTCCTCTCCATCCCCCCCAATGGAAACATGGTGATATCCATAATTGCCTCCTGCATTGTCCCGTTCGAGTCTGGCAACACCACATCAATCAACAGCAGTTTGCTTTTTGGCTGTGTTTTTAGGAGTGGCACAATTTGTCCGAGAATGGTGCTGCAATCGTCGTCACTCCAATTATGAAAAATATGGCGATAATGATAGACATTGGCATCTTTGACAGGTTGAGGAGTGAAGATGTCATAAGTCATGAAATTTACTCCAGTTGGTGGTGTGGGTACGGCTTCAAATGTAGAAGGTAAATCTTGAACAATAAATTGTCCTTTGATCTTCGGGTTTCTTTGACGGACCTCGCCCACTAGACAACCCATTTGTCAGTATTTGTATTTTGATGCACAGATGGAAGTCATAAGGCTGCGGGTATGCGTATCTCCAGAAACGGCATGGACGTGCTCATAAAACATTCGGTGAATCAGATATTCAGACACGAAGAAAGTTCGCCTTACTGATGTGACCTTGGCCTCCAGCAATATCCACAACCGCAATATCTTCGTCTTTTAGATCCAACTTTTCAAGCTCAGCACCCCATGGATAAGCATCCAGGGCGTTATGTGACGTCATCCCAGCAACCATATTGAGGGCTCGATCGGGGTGGGAGCCTAGCCAGGTCCAGAGCTCTTCCCCGTAGGCCCATTTGAAAGGTGTTCCCGTCTCCTTCGTGGGCGCTTTGTACCCTTTCTCCGCCAACGTTTTCGGCATTGCCATGATTGAAGGAATGAGATCGAAGAAGACAAAGTTGTTGAATGCGCGGTGGTCGGGGTGTAGATATGGTTTCCCGAGGGAAGTGAGACTGAAACTCGGGCCCCTTGGGCCCATGGATTCTACAAACAGATTTGCCGCTGTGAGCTGACGGAATACACGGACTACATAAGAGTCAGTAGAGGACCTCATGAATGAGGCGGCAAAAGGGAATATTCACTAATGATTATTTCATCCGCTTCAGTGGACTCCACAATTTCTGCCATGGAAACTTCCTTTCCTCCTTCGAACTTCTCCCATAGTTTAAGTTGAGACACGATCTCAATTGAAACACTGATATTGACCTGGAACAAAGGGTTACTATATAAATTCCAAGTAGCGTTTTCCTTGTTTCAGGACTTCGCCGACTTACTTGAAATATTCGAGGCCAGACCTCTCCATTGGGTTCCTCCAAAGAGCTGAGAAGTTTTCTGGCCTCATGCTGGAGGTTTCGTCGCGCAACGTGAAGGTCATCTTGAGCTCCAGCTGCTGTATCAAAGCTAGCAGCCGCTTCATTTACACCTTTCACTAAATCAGCAATTTCTGACGGAGACGTATATACAGTCGACATTTGGCAACGAAGCTTCAAGTCAAACTCAATGTAGATTCAGGGACGGAGAGAAATGAATGATCGATACTGGTATGTTGGTTTTCTCCCCTCCACAAGCACACTTCCCAAGGGCCTCGCTTCTCACGTGTTCAGTAGCATTGTTGCTCCAGGCTACTCCAATGCTCTCGAGAGCTGAAAGGCCGATACGTGGCGGAGCCATAACGGAAACATTCTATTGAAACTCGAGGATGCCTGTCTCTGCATTATTGTTTTTGTCATGCATCTCAACACTTTGTGTCCCTGTCGTGTACTCGTAGTTGCATAAAGCCGCATCTTAGCACTAAAATGAATATACTTCCGAGGTCACACTATCCAGTGATCAGTGCTTGTCTCATATCGCGGACAAAGCACCGACTCCAGTCCGCTAGGTCCATTACTAGCCCAACACCAAAAGTCCCCATACATGGGGAAATGGGGATCCACAGGCCCGCCTCGAGGCTGTGGCGCCTTACCGTATAGTGTTGAAGATACTAAACATCCCTAGTCGCTTAATATGAAATATTCAAAAAGTAGAGCTGATCTTCACTAAACGAATGGTTTTTGGAAGCTGAAAAGCTCTAGTCTGGACCCCCGTCACATACAGGTGAAACCAATACTGCATGTAGACATTGCAGCAAAACGCAAGCCTCGATATGTAACGGGCAGCTGGTAAGACAACAAATTAGGAATGCGTATGTACCTCGGCCTAACTGGCTGAGGAACCTATGCGGTTCGGAGTGGTTGGTCCATAACATACACCCTTGAACTTGCAGAAAGCGGAATCTCAATGCGACTTTCAGGTGGCTTTTGGGGCATCAATTTCCGTTTTTAATAAGCCGTTGGGAAATGTCTCCGAGAAAACTTACTTAAACAGCAGCGCTGTGACTGTACGCTTTACGTGCATATGTACCTGTGGGTCATCCTCTCCCGAACTAGCGGCGGGACGTCGCGGATAGTTTTTTATTGAGTTGGACAGCATATGAACCCTTTCAAGCGCATCTGATAGCGTCAAGTAGGGTCCATATTACCCCTCCAATGGAAAGATCAGACGCATATGGACACGCCGAGGAATCTATATTGGGTCAGCTCAGCTCAGGAAATCTCACCGCCATCTGCTGAACCTCGATCACTCTCCACCTATCTGACCACTGTGACGATTCGAAAGGCAGTGAAGTTATCAGAACACGTGCCTGTGTGAACGTCCTACCCATTACGACACCACCATCTGGCTTCACAAAGTAACGAACGACTCCAAATCTATCAACCATTTATCACCTATCCCAATAGCAAAATGGATAGAGAACAGAGGATAGCCCAGCACAATGCTATCAAAATGCAACTCCAAACCCTCACCGATGCTGTGAATGCCTACTCTACTACATTTGAGAAGAACTCCTCATCCGACAACCTTGCGGCTATCGGCGAAATCTCACAATGCCAAGTCGCAATGACTGAGAGTGTGAAGCAGATGCAAAGTGCTATCTATGGGCCGTTGAATATGGTTATGCTGCATTATGAAGAGGTAAGCCTTTATCTTCCTGCTGCAAGCAATGGTGAGAGCCGGACCTGATCTTGGATGGTGAAAGTAGTGTTTCCGTTCAAGCTCGCTTAGAACACTGCTGGAGATGGGTGTTTTTGATATCCTTCCCGCTGATGGTAGTGAAAAGCCCGCGGAGGAACTGGCTAAGAAGCTAGGCGTTGACGAGGCTCTTCTCGGTTTGTGATACATGAAGCAGTGGATCCATAAGGCCAGGGCTAATGATACAAAGTTCGTCTGATGCGCGTAGTCATACCTACATTCTTCGAAGAACCGCGCCCAGAAGTATACACTCACACGCCAAACTCCAGAGTGTACTTGGAGCTTCCCTTGCGGGCCAACTTCAAAATGATGTATGAGCACTTGGTGTTATGTTCAAAGAAGATTGATTAACCAGTTCTAACCTTCTCCAGGTACGACGAGACTTGCTTCGCGAGCATGAAAATGACCGAATTCTTCAAGAAACATGGGTATATCAACCCCGACTCCCGGAGTAACAATCCCTACACGTACGCCCACGACACTAAAGGCCTATCCATGTTCGACTTCCTCCTTCAGAACCCAGACCGCTTCAAGAACTTCAATGATGCGATGCAAGCTCGTTCTTCCCAAACATCCCTTCCCTACGACCTGTTCCCTTTCAGAAACAAATTGGGCGAGGTGGACAATACGGATGAGACTGTTCTGCTGGTAGATGTTGGAAGCGGCATAGGCCAGGCTACGCTTGCCATTCGGGAGGCTTGTCGAGATGTAAAGGGGAAAATCGTCATGCAGGATCAAAAGGAGGTTATTGAGGGGATCGCAGGTCCGTTGCCGACGGGTGTGGTGGGAATGGCGCATGATTTCTTCACACCACAACCTGTCAAAGGTACACGCTCCTCACCTTATAATCAAGTAATAGTCTCACGAACCTGACAATTTTAGGTGCCCTCTATTATTACATCCACCGCTGCCTTCACGATTGGCCAGACTCCGACTGTCTCTTAATCCTGCAGCATCTCGCTGCCGCGATGGAACCTGGCGTCTCGCGCATTTTGATCTCTGAAATCGTGATGCCCGTTGGACGCGTTGATATCCAGACGGCGTGGTCGGATATTAACATGCTGACATTTAGCGGGGTGGAGCGAAGTGAAAAGCAGTGGGTAGACTTGCTGGAGAATGCGGGTTTGAAGATTGCGAGTATGCATGGCGAGGGTGGAGGATGCTACTTTCGGGTATTGGAGGTTGTTCATGAGTGAATTAAGCTACAGTGTTCCCCAAATAGTATTCGAATAGTATTCGGGGTTTTCCCGAATACTCGCCATCTGGGAGTATTCGGCGAATACTCATATCCTCGCCGAATAGTATTTGAGTATTTTGAGGCTCAACTGTAGTATATAGTAATGAAATATGATAACTGTCTACTCGCTATTATCCTCCTCCTCGTCGCCTATAACCCCCCAATCCCGTAGGCAGAGTAGATATCGAAGAGTTGAAGGTAATAACCTGTTCCTTTTCTTTGTGACTATATCACCGCCGACACTAAATATACGCTCTGACGCTGCCGATGAGGCTGGAATTGTGTAAGGACACAGGGCACCCAGCTCACAGTAATAGCATATGAGAGTGCGAGTCGGAGGCTAAACGGATGATATCCTATAGGTCTACTATGAAGGATACAAAAAAGATGAAGGGGGAACCCCGTTGAGTCACTTTCCTTAAGTACCCGAAACGGGCCCGACTCGGTTATCCCAACCCTAGCCCTGAACCTTCCACCACAACAGGTCTGCATCGACCCTGAACCCTACACCCTTACCGTCCCCCACTATAGTGTAACTCGCTATGTGCTCCTCTACTGGTTCGAAACCACACCGAGTTGGATTCCATGCTTGTAGTGACCGTAACAGCTCTGAGGCAGGTTCTTTGAGTATCTAGGTAAGGAGGCATCCTTACAAATTGCCAAATAGTACCGTGTGATCCGTGATATAACTGGATACTGATACTGCTTTGCCTGCCAATATTTGAGGATATTAGTATTACGGTCGACACCATTCTCTTTGAACCATCGTCGCCACTCAACTTCCTCAATAGAAGGCCCATGATGCTGATACATCTCGTCGTCGGAATCAAGTTCTCTTAGAGTCGTCAGCTGCTCAGTTTCAGCAGCAATAGTAGCTTCAATAGCAGCAACCTGTATATCGTTCTCACGGTCTTTATACCAGTTATAGCAAGCTGCGAACTGTGCTCTTGCCCTATCTCGTTTTACAGCGTCTTGTAACGCTGACTTCTAAATGATAGAAGACACAGAGGTTTCTTGCGTAAGGTTGACTTGACAGAGGAGGCAGGGGATTAGACACAAAGGCTTTCCAAGTAACACGTTACAGTATTGTAAAGAATACTATATTGAGTTGAGCACGAAGCTCCTATCTAAGGAAATACTATCTACTTATATAGTGGCGTCGTACCTCATGGGTAATCTGGATAGTTGGCGGATAGCTAGATATTCAGGATAGTTCGTGGATAGCTCAACTATCCAATATCCACTAGTTTCTGCAACTATCCATTAGCCCCGTCACATGGCAGCCTACCCCGCTTCCCACTGTGACTCACACGTCACGTTACTAGGCCCTGGCCCTGTAACCATGACATCATGTTACTATAGCCGTAACACGTCTACACTTTTGGCATATAAAATTCATATATACTTAAGTTGAATCTTGGGTCGCAGATAGTAGCAATTGACAAGTGGCTTGAGCCTTGATTTGTCACAAGGTTGTAATAAGTATCAAGCTTATTATACGACGCTTTACAAGCTGCGCTGATTGCTGCTGTTGTCAATGGAGCGTTTTCCATTGCCTTAAGCTTATTTAAAAACTGTAGATAGTGTGGAATGCAGACATTCAATGTTGGATAATTATCTGCTTGAACTTGCTCTGCTGGTTTGACGAATATCTTAAAGAACGCCTTTAGTCCATGTAACACTTGCCATTCTATTGATGTAATGATAATATCACGCATACTTAAATCCATCGTTTGCGAAGCACATAAAGCATTGATCGGCTGCTCAAGCCTCAAAGCATTCTCAAGCATATAATATGTTGAGTTCCATCATACAGGCATATCGAGGGACATTGAAACTACCTGAATACCCATAGCAGATGCTTGTACTTTCAATGCATCTTTCCATGCTTGACAGTTCCGGAAGACATAGATATGCCGGCGTAGTTTTATAAGAACCGTTGCCACTTCTTCTTTATTAAGAATGAAGCCTTGAGTATGAGCTAAGCCTTGCTTAAGCCTATACAATTCCGTTTGTTCTGATGGTACAGCTTTTAACATAGTTAAAGCTGCTTGAACTGCAAGGTTTATAATGTGTGCCATGCATCGGACGTCGCCTTCCTTTACTGTAAAGCTCCCTGGTTGCTGTATAGAAACAACGCTCGTGCATGCCCCTATTTCAAACTCTGCGAGCATTGCTGTATTGTTCGATGCGTTGTCTCTAGTAATTGTAAAGACTCCGTTCGTAATACCAAAGTCATCCGTAACAGCTTGAAGCTGCTCTGCAAGATATTCACCGGAATAAATGGGCTCCTTTAGATGTATGATATCAAGAACACAGTGCCAGTGAACCTATTCGTTATTTATCCAATGAACAGTTATCGCAGTGTGCTCTGAACCATTCATTGCAGACCATGAATCAGTCGTAAGTGATAACCATTCGCCCTTTATTATATGAGCCTGGAGTTCTATCTGTAGCTTTATACGGTGGTTGCAGAATGTCTTGTGTAAATCGCGCATTAAGGAGCTCGTTGATATAGCTAACGTTGAAGGGCTAAGCTGGTGTAAGCTGATGAAACGAAGGCTGATCAACCAGACTCATTGGTAAGTTATTAGATACAATAAATGCAAGTAATAACTCTCTATATCGAGAGGCAAGAATGGATCCTCCTACTCGAGGAGTAAAGAATTGTTGGGCGTTTCGGGCTGTTCCCATATTCGGAGCGCCCTGCAAATCCTGCGAACTCTGACTCTGCGAACTCTCAGCACGCTGTAGCAATGGAGTTCCTGGTTTTATAGCTTCGTATAATGCAGGATGCATGCTTTCAACATGTCTCCACAAATTACTCGTGATATTCCATGATAAAAGCTTCAGTTTTGGCTTATAATTACAGCCATCTTGCATACAGATAATCTTCATCGTTGCAGGGCTGGTGCTTAACAATGTTCTACTGAATACATTCTTTAAGAACAACGGTGACTGAGTATTTGGGAGTTGTGGCCATATTTGTAGTAATGGTAGAGCTATCGACGGTGAAGTCTCAAATGGAAAAGGGGGTGGTAGACGCTGAATTTCCTCATCTTCGTCACTTGGAATTGCGGATAGCTCAGAGTTGCTCATTCTGGTAGAAATATCAATTGGTATATTATCTATGGATCTATTTCTACGGATCTATCTATGAGGGCGGGGTAAAATCTTCGTAGCTTGGCATCCTGGGCCATGCTTGCCAAGGACTCGAATAGTATTCGAGTCTTTGGCAAATACTCACCTATCCAACTCCACCATCACTGCATTGGCAATGCGCTCCTACCACCCCCTTCTGCCAACTCAGCAGCACATTCAACCCCCCCCCTAACTGTTGCGACGCTAAGTGAGTACGCTGCCCCCATCAGATTCGCCGACTGTCCAAAAACAACGCTCTCGCACCTAACAGTCTCCTCGTACTTGCTGCCAAAATCCACCACCCCCAAATTACTAATCTCGAAACTTTTCCCCAGCGATGCCCAGGCTTACCACCACATTAGGTACCAGCTTCAAAAAAGCCGAGAACTGGTTCTTCGTCCCCCCAGCACCCTTTGCCCCTTAATCCTCTTCGCCTCCCCCCACTCCACCCCATTGCCCAGCCTCCCCTTCCCCTTCGGACTGGATCAGAAAAACAGACAGGATGTAATGGTGGGTGCACCAGATGTGAGAATCTAGCCACCCAAGGAAGGGATGAATTTACTAAGACAACACACTGTCTTAGAAAACAGAGCCAAAGGGTCGTAGCTTAGACTATTCCACAATGCAGCAATCAGGTGTGTGATGTAGTGAAGTGGTTCAGACAAGTTGCAACAAATGTTGAGTCTGGGAACTCAGGGGTAAGTCAGAGGTTAACACCTCACTGACTTTTCAGAAACAAGGAGTAACAAGATGAATGCTTGGAAGCTTGGAAAAGACGTGGAAGTATGTGATAGTCGATTTACTGTATTGTCTGCTTGCCCTTTCTTAACGAAAGGGCAATCCTATTTATGCTAAAGGAATGTAGTTCTCTCATTTTCCAAGACTTTCCATGACTTACCAGGCTTGGTAACTGTAGTCGACGTAAGAGAATCCCATAGAACCATCTCTTAGGTTCGTAGCCTATAGGAAGTAAAAGGAGGTCCAAGGTCAGAGTACCCCTATAGACAAATTATGTCATAGACAAATTATGTCATAACTTAACCAATCTTGTGGCTAACTAAAGAGCGATGACATGTAATGAATCATAGAGGTTCGTAGGAGCTTTTAGAGCTATCGTTCATGCTCCTAGGCCTCTAGTTGGTAGAGATATGTCATGTGGTAGTATGAGTGATGTCATGTAATGAATCATAGAGGGTTGTAGAGATATACTATGTGGTAATATCGGCCCAGTAACTAAGGAGCGATGACGTGTAATGAATCATAGATGGTTGTAGCAATCGTTGAGTAGTATTGCTCTTGTTGTTGGTGTGATAAGCCAAAATATGTATAGTGACTTGTAGGTTTGAGGAGGAGATTTCCAAGTTTGCTCTTGAGTTTGATAGCAAACTGAGTGCAACGAATGTCAGTATGACACAGGACATGGCAGATATATACGTCCCTATATCCTCTGCACCCACTCCATCCGCGAACTTCTGCAGGCTAATCGCCGCATTTCCGTCGATCCCCTTCACACCCTTCGTCTTCCCCACCACCACCTCCGCAATAACAACCATGAGGAGCGCTGTCACGCTTGTCTCGTGATGCCTACATCTCGCTGCTAGCACTGCCGCCTGCGACACTGACAGACTGAACTGTCGCAGCTTCATCACAACTGGCTGAGAGTTGGTAATAAGCGCACCCGACCAGACATCCCTGTTCAGGAAAACAGTCTCGTAAAGCGTGCGCAGAAAACCTCTGCCGGTGATGCTGAGCGGGACGGTGGTCTCGAAGGCGGGCGGCAGGTCAGCGCTCGACGGCTGAACCGTGGTTGGTTGATTACTCGACGGCTCGTGCAGGGCGGCAAGAAGAGCGTGCTGGATGCAAGTCTGTAATACCGCAGCGCCGCTGAGCCCGTCACCGATGGTTAGGCGGAACGGGGCTGGAGCCTCTGGGGTGCCATTCATGGCAACAGGCGGCAATGGGATGACCAGGGCGCGCCATAGAGGTGAGGTGCCATCGCCGCTGAGGATGGGCGTGTTATATAGCTTGATGAGGTACTCCTCTACTGAGGCGTTAGGCTCGGCGAAGGTGACGAGGCTGGAGAGGTCAATGCTCTCAAGAGGGTTCCAGGATGGGGTCTGCGTGCTTGCACCGAGGACTGAGATTCCTAGCGATGGGTGCTGGGCAGTCAGCTGAGCTGCGCAAGGACTTGGTACGTGAGGTTTTCGACGGCTGCGGACCAGTCTGCGGCTAGGAGGGACGAGGAGAGGAGGGCCGGCGGAATAGTGTAGATTGCTGTGACACCCACGTTGTTATAATACCCTAGATGACTACGGGTGATATAACAACACTCAATTATAACTACCTTACCAGGGCGCCACGTATTTGGTGAGGGGTCCGAGGATGGTCCGGGGATCACACCTATTTTGACCGGTCATCCCACGGTCAGTTGGCCCGTGCACCGGTTCGAAGACCGTCCAAAATCCAGGATCAAAGCTTCAACCCATACGGTTGAAGCTTTAGAACAGTAGATAGGAAATTGACAGTAGTATGACAGTAAAATTTGCTCACCGTTTGTGATCCTAGGGCTGTTGATGTGATATTGCCGTCGCCGGCCACACTATCGTCATGAGTCCATGACGGCGACCGACAATACTGACTAGAAGCACCCACTCCTCAGTCCTGACACCGTTAGTGGAGTGACGACAGTATTATCACTGTCCTTAGGCTGAGAGCAAGGGCGGGCGTTTCTGGTTTCCTCGAATGGAACCATCGCAGCCATGGATGAGGCAATGGGCGGTCCTAGGACCAGGAGTTAGAGTGGCGGCAAGGAAGCCGCAAGAGTTGAAAGGCATGCTAGCCAAGCAAGAAAGGCAAAGAGGAACTGAAGAATGGCAGACGAAACAGCGAAGGAAATGACAGAGGCGAATGGTGATGGAAAGTACAGAGGGAACAGTGGTAGAATCGGTGGTCGAAAACGGCAAAGGAGACTGGCGAAGAGACTGGATGAGGAGACTAGATGAGGAGACCGGATGAGGAGACCAGATGAGGAGACCGGATGAGGAGACCAGATGAGGAGACCGGTGAAGGAGACTAGCAAAGGAGACTAGCAAAGGAAACAGTGAAGGAAAACGGTGAAAGAAAACGGTAAAGAAGGGGGAGAGGAAAGCGAGCGAGGAAATTGAAAAATGAGGCTAAGATTCTAAGGGCAGATAGCTTGATAGCCACATAGCTATCTGTCATTGGAATCTGTAGAGCTCTTAGGGCCTAGGAAGCCTTCCTTTAGCAGCGGATAGATCGGCGACAGCGTGGGCTAGAGCACTAAGAGTATGATCATTTTGATCACGGTAGCGACACAAGCTGCAGAGGAACACAGAAGAGAGGCGGCAGGCACAGGAAAGCAGGTGTTAAATAAGGCATGGGAATCAAGCTTCATTGCATATTATTTCTATCATATAGCCAGTATTCATGCTAGATCCAGCTTCAAACAACGCCATTGTGATCCGTAGCCACTCTTATTCCAACAGCAAATATGCCTCAACCTAAGATATCCAGCTAGAACGCCTAGCCTAGAACAGCAAAGTCCAAAAATGTTCCATCAAGGAGGTCAGCAACATAATGCTAACTTCCTAGCCTAAGCCACTAGCCTAACAACAGCGCATAAGAGAATGCCCCCTAAAGCAAGTGTAAATTAACCGCAAGAAGAGGCAGCGAACATCTCACTCTATCACCTAAGCACTACGCCTAGGGACGAGATTTCTTTGTGGGCTTTGGTAGTAGTGGAGAAGCCCTACTTAGATATATTCTTGTCCTTAAATAAGGGTGCGTTTCTTTAAGATAGGTTTTAGCGCCTTTGTATTTAAGCGCCGTTTAAAGGTCTTGTAGAACTCACCTTTGTCGAGCTGATCGTAATCCACAATTAAGGGGAAGCGTTAGAGGAAATCTGTAAAGCTTTCTTAGGAGTGTAGGCTAACAGCCTTTTAATTAGGGTTAGATTTCTAGTCCATCATTAATTTCGTCTAGGCAGAAGTGTTGATGTAAAGTTCCTTGGCATAGTACTAGGTGAGGTCATGCTTTTCTCAAGGTCGATATAATGGTGTATAAATCTAAATGCCTCATAAGAAGCTTAATGAATACTATACGCTTGCTATGAATCAACGATGGAGTCATTCAGGGGTAGCTACAATTTGCGATCCACGTATGAATCTTAACGTATTCAACAGTCTTTGGCCAAGCAGTACTGAAGAAGTCAAACAGAATAGGGTTAAGCAGCAGTTCCACGACATCTTTATTCAATATAGAGACCGCCAATACTATCTTAAAGAAGAGAAAAGGGAAGCTGAGGCTGATTTACCACAATTACCTACAGAACCTGACTCTGATGATGATTTATATATCTCTCATAGTAAGAACCAGAATGGAAGCGCTGGCTTGTTGATCCCCGGCCAGGTCCAGCAACAGATATCCTCAAATATTGGGCGGCAAAGTAATATCAATATCCAATTATAGCTGCAATTGCTCAAGACCATTTGGCAATTCCTGCAACATCAGCTCGATCAGAATGGGTCTTTAGTAATGGAGCTGATATTCTTACGAAGAAAAGGAACAGGCTCTCTCCTGAAATGCTTCGATATTTACTCTGTTTACGAGATTGGGGTCATATACTAGAGGTTGAAGAAAGTGAAGCCAAAGACGCTGATGACGAGGGGGAAGAGTAGTTATATAAGTTATTTTATTTATTCTATTTTTATATTTTAAGCCTCATTATCCTGAAGATCCGGATATAACCCGTATCTATCCGTCAGACCTCAGACAGATCATGATCTTACCTGTGAGGGCTCAGGATCAGATCCGGATATGATCCTCCGAACACTGTATATAACATGGATGAAACTGGATTATTCTAGTGTATAAGACCCTTAAGAGGTCTCCTTTCCTAGAGTATTCTAGGCGTCAAGAAGGATAAAGCACGAATAACAGTTATTTTATGTACGAACGCAACAGGAGAAGACTGAATTCAACCTTGGTTTATTAGAAAAGCTAAAAAGCCACGAGCTTTACAAGGAATCGATATTGCAGGAATAGGAGGTGTATGGAAGCATAATTTGAAAGCTTGGAATACAACAATCGTTATGGTTGAATGGCTTCAAGCTTTCTATCGCCATATAGGGGGACGACAGGTTCTTCTTACAATGGATAATTTCAGTGCTCATATTACAGGAATTGAATTACACCCTCCTCCTTCGAATATTCGAATTGAATGGCTTCCTCCAAATTCAACAAGCCGTACGCAAGCATTAAGGAATTATTCAGAATTTCAAGGTCTATTACTAGTGGCAACAGCTTCTCATAATGCTCTCTTCTTCTGATAAACAAGAAGATCCATATTCAATTATTACACTTCAACATGCAATTCGATGGGCCCTCTGCACTTGGAATATAGATATTATGAATCAAACAATATATAACTGTTTCCTTAAGTCAACCCTTATTTCGACTACCTAGCTGACTTCTATTCAACCATGTGAGAATATCGATATTCTATTCCAAGACATTATACAGGCTGGCAAAATCCGTGATGCCATGTCACTTACAAGCTTCTTAAACCCTATCGAAGAGGGAAGAAGAGGATACAACTACTTAAGAAAATATGATTCTACAAGAGGTAATCCAAGAGCATTTAGGCCTTTTGACTGAAGAAGAAGAAGAAGAGCTAGAACAGCCTTTGCTAACGCTATAGGAAGCTCGCCAGGCTCTTCAAGTTCTTGTAGAATATATAGAAGGATCGAACAAGCTTGGAAAATCATATTCTAGGGCCTTAGAACGCCTTACTACTGATATTGAATTGTATCCCTAGTAATATCATCGAGGCAGCAGAGTACTCTAGATAGTTGCTTTACGTAGTATCAATTTAAATCACGTGTTTCCAGTAACGTGGTTGTACACCGAGTCGTGAATGTCACCGAGTCGTGAAACTTTTTTATACCCATCACTGTAAGGTATAATTAAACAACCACAACATGTATTAAAACTAAAACTATTCAGAATCTGATGAGCTAAGTACTTCTATGACCTCCTGACAAGTTCGTGCATTATGGCCAGCCTGTCATGACACTCCTTCGATATTTGTGTCACGACCCTTCGATTCGCTTTAGTCTCTAGTACTTATTTCACTATGTCATTCACTTCACCTGCTTCGCTCACTTTGCTCACTTCGCTTCACTTGCTGACCTAGATCAGCCCAAATGTTGACTACTGGCTTAGGCTCTCTTGTTATTGGCTTGCTGCACTAGGGCTCGCTTAGCTAGGGTTCGGTTAATTAGTGCCTTTGCTTATTTGGCACTAGGGATTTTTACTGTTATATAAGCACTTATTGCTCATGTCTCTTATTGATCTTTAGCCAGCAAATTATATACTACTTGGCCTTCTTGCAATTCCTCCTGCTTCGACTTACTTTGCATTCCCTTACTTCGAGTTGAACCACTTGGCCAACCTGTTAGTCTCACCACTTGACCCCTGTGGTATAAAGTATATGCTTTGGAGCCTGAACTACTATACCTTGTCCTACTGCTTCGAGTATCGAAGTCTTCACATTATACTTCAGATACTTCTGCAGACTTGAAGGTCAGCCTCGGTTCGAACTGTCCTTACACAGCCCCCCCGCAAGTGCCACAATGTCGTACACGTGGTTGCCCCTCATTCCTACCAACCCCTCCAGAGCACTTCTCGCGATTTATTTGCTCCGTAACTGCCCTTTGGGACAAATCATCATGTGCATCCCCTACAGAAAGTGCACACCCTTGATGGACACGAGACTTTTTAGCCCTCCGGCGTTTGCTAAGAGCTTCGTTTGCTGCTCGAAGGGTGCGGACTTCAGCTGACAATAAAGTCATTTCATGTGCCAAAATCTCTGTCCCTTTAGCTAATGCAGTAACAGTAGCAAAAATGGGGGTTGGCGAGCTTCGTTGGTGCCATGCAATGCGATTTTTAACTAGAGAGTCTGTGAGAGAGCATCTATTGGGTTGCGAGGCGTTTGAGAAACCCAAGGATCAGCGTCTATAGAGGGGGGTCCTGTAGGTGTAGGAGTCCGCAACTTGACGTCTAGCTTTGAAAGGATTACTTGCAGATCAAAGGGCACTAAACCAGCTCCACGAAATCCAGCTTTGGCGTTTTGAGTTGTTATTGACTGGTTATAAGCTGCGTGGAAAGCTATAAAAAACTCAACCTTTGTAATATGGTTTATATGAGCCTTAATAAAGGTCTCAATTTGACGCCCATACATGCGTTTAAGAACACTAAAGCACCCAACATCAAGTGGCTGAGTTAGGTGAGATGAGTGAGGAGGTAGACAGAGAGTTATGATGTTGTTTGCTTTGCAATATTCCTGAAACGCAGCTGATTCGTGACTTTCATGCCCGTCTAAAACCAACATCCGATATGGTCCTTTTGCACGACTGCAAGTATGTTTATCGAAGTGATGAAGCCATTCTAGACCTGTCTCGTTGTTGGTCCATCCATTGCTTGTTGGTTTAATTACCCAATTGTGAGGAAGGCCGCCTTCAGTATACCAACTTGAAAGGTGACATTTCCCTTGAACTACTAAAAACGGAGGGATACTCCCGCCTTCAGCATTCACACAAACAATTGCTGTAGCCCATTCCCGATTGCCAGGCTGAACTGCCTTGCCTCTGCCACGTCGATCGGCGCTAAAGCTGAGCTAATAACGCCCATCATGAAGCCCGTCTCATCAAAGTTGTAGAAATCGCAGTCTTGGATGCTGTCTTTGCTCTCATGTTCTGCACAAGTTGAAACCACGCTCCAATAAGCTCAGGATCTTCGCACAAGGCTCTTTGAAAGTCATAAACGCGATTAAAATGCGTCTTTAACTCGGGGTGGCGTTGTATAAATCGATATGCCCTCCGCGTCCCAACGCGCTTTCCCCCACGCGATTCAAGGATATAATTTGCCATATCCTCCACACTAGCAGGCCGAGGCGCAAATCCTCTTGCATCCATATCCAATATATTTCGAATAATCACTTCCTCTTCTAGCTCAGTCAATTTAAGACTATTGGCTTTGGTTTCACGTCGAGAAGGTCGGCCGGCCATTCTATCAGTAAGCGTAGAATAAGGCACTTTATATAGTATTGATGCAAACCTGCGATTAAGCGATTTACATGTTTGAAGAGCCTCAATAGCTAGAATGATTCGCGCTTCTTGGGTTTGGATTTCCATTGGTAGTTGTGGAGGAAACGCGTGTTGAAGTTCGTAGGTAGCTAAGTAGGGAAAAGTTCACGACTCGGTGACATTCACGACTCGGTGTACAACCACGTTATACCAATATTTTAATTATAACGATATTCAAGTGTTGTCAAAATTACATCGCTATAACAGGGGTCCTACTGTATACCCAGGTATATACCTACCTTTTTTTTTTCTGAGAAACTACCCTGGTATTTCAAGTAGGTAGGTATATATCCGGGTATATGCCAAGCCTTGCCAAGTATTCAGAATCTAACGTCTTGAATATAGTCGTGATATTGTCGTCATGTGCATGCCATAACACACAATGAGCAACTCATCATTATCAGATGTGCCTATTGGCCTTGACGACATTGGCCTTGATGAGGTTGATTAGCCAACCTTACCTGCCCTTATTCCGTCGCTCTGTCTCTAGACGTCATGCACAATGCTTCCACCAAGCTCCTCACCACTATTTGTTAAGAATCTATATAGGCGTACACTGTTGGACACTACACCACCAACTATTCGGGTTATCTGTAGCCAGCCAGACTACGGATATTCACCGCAGCCATTGGTATTCACAGATAAACCTCTTCATCATCATTTTTAGAGTTCTGATGCCCAAGTTCCCCTCTATTATCTCCTTAAGTAGTTCTTCATCAGTAGTCTCTCCTTCTACTTCTCCAGCCTCTTCCACAGGGTTTAGAAAGTTCGAAATAGCCATTGAGTCTGTAATTGATGCTATAGTTATCGCTTGGTTATAGAGTTCTTGTATCTAGTAGGTATCGTTATTGTCAGAAGGCTAATTGGATTTGAAACAAGTGTAGATTTCTAGAAACAGTTGTATATCGTAGTATTTGAAACCTCTGTATTCTAAGCACGAATAATCTCGCATAGAGCGAGTCGAAGATTCATAAGTTTCTGTGGATCTTGATATGAATTGATAGTGTCGATTATAAACTGAAGCCAATGTTGTCTATAATAAGCTTTAACATTTTGAATAATTCCTTAATCAAGAGGCTCGAAATGACTGGTACTGTTAGCTAGAAGCTAGCAAATGCGGATATTAGGGGGAGGAGGGTTGAGCTCAGCCCTAGTATAGTGTGATGAAAAGCTGCCCATTGTTACGAGTATTTGGCGAGTAGTTCTAATATGCTGATAAAGGGCTTGAAGCCATTCGCTCACAAGTATTCTAGTCATCTAAGCCTTCTTGTTCACTTTCCATTGTGCCCCCATTGTTAGTATATTAATTCGTTGTAATGCTCGAGGTGCTTTTACATAGCCAATTGCCTAAACAGGGAGTCGGTCTGTTCTAGTAGCGTTGACATAGAAAACTAGGGAGTTCCGAGTCTTATTCTTCTTAACACTAGATTAGAGCTGTGATGAGAGGCCACATGATGGCATCATCTTCTAGAAGAGTCCAGTTTCATCCATATTGTATATATCCTCTTCTTGAAACTCCCCTGCTATTGTCTGTAGTGCCCTCATTTCTTCCTTAACATTTTCTAGACTAATGCCGCCTCTCTAAACCGTTGTCGTGATTGTATATGATGTCGCTTTTTGAATTTTTCGAGCCAGCTAGTAGAAAATGATGGGCACTCTTGGCTAGTATATTCTAGCAGTCGTTTCCAGATCTGCTGTGCCTTCTGCTGTAGTATATCGCCAGTTGTAAACCCTCCCTTTTCTTCAATCCGAATCTACCACTCCCAAAGGATTTCCTCTAGCTTTGGCCACTAGCCTAGTCGATGTCGTTGGATTCTAGTGTCTTGGTTCTTATCAAGGGCCTCAAAGTTGCTGCTTAGTGATTCGGAAATAGTCGACTGGCTTAATTTGTGATGATATGTCGTTCAAACCATTTGATACACTGCCGCTAAGTTGGCTTTGGAACTTGTTAGTGGGCCTAGTGTCGAAGGGCACGCTGCTCGTCGACTGTAATCAGCCTTCTTCGAGGCATTTTGGGTGATTATAATGGCTGTCAGAATATACGTTAAGACGATAAACAGGCTGGAAAAGACGATAATCGTTGAATCGTATTTTGTATGGTAAAAATATGGTCCGTGGAAAAATATCGCACAAAAGAGGTTATCGGCTAAAAGAGGATCGTTGTCACGAGTAGCCTCACGTGCAGGACCTGTCACGTGCGCTATAGTCCCAAGGCGGAGGGTCTTCTGTTGTAATAGTCACATGATCTCACGTGATCTCCATACAGATTATCGGTAAAGCCAAATATAGGTTACATAGTTAGGAATACATACATTTATTACTCAACATCTTCCCTCCGAACCCCGCACGAGAACATATATAGTAGGAACGCGGCCCTTAATTGGAAGGGCAGCGTTCAGTCTTCGTATCAATTAGAGAGCTTGACTACGTAACTATCTACAACGTGACTTCCCACTGCCCTGTTCAGCCAAGGCTCTCTTACAATCGTCTTGGCGAAGTTTGACTGTATATGTTCGATCGTATTTCATTACTGACTTATTTACCACCGTGTTTCTATTTTCACAGCCGGTCTTGGTCGCTCATAGAGCACTTCTAGGCTGCGCACTACTCGCTCAATACTCGGCTCACTCGCTCAGTGGGTTACTCAGCTGGGTGAGTAGCTGAACCTTTTACTCGACTCGGTGAGTGAGGTCAATACTCAGTTACTCTGTAAAAACCCGGTGAGTACTCGGCTATCACGTGTAAGATTTATGCATCATGTGAACAGTCCCTCATACGATTAATACTGTTTTATGGTTAAGTTAAAGTATTACATCTATTAGCATCACTCTCGCCATCTCTAGTAAGCTGTGAGAACGAATCATGTATATTCCTCTATCTAAGTACCATGATTATCAGAAGATTATTAGAACGCTATTATCTATTATATATGCTTAAGAACATCCCTCCACCTTGCTTGATGAGGCCGGCCAGACCTACTAATACCTAAAGTATTTATAGGGTCTTGATGAGGATCCTCGACTGAGCGGAACGAGCTATGAGTCAAGATAGGTGGGGCTTGTGGAGAAGAAGAGGCGCTAATATTCTTGACTTTCTGATTCGCAATGCAAGATGCATGGGTACCCTTCTCAGTCCTGTTTATAGTTAGATTGAGGCTACCAGAGATTACCAGAAGGGACTTACCGAACACAAATACGCTCAACCTTCAATTCATTCTGTAGACGTGTCTTGTCTTCAGTAGAGGCAGCGATATACTTTGTGTAATGACACAGGGCACCCAGCTCACAGTAATAGCATATGAGAGTGCGAGTTGGAGGCTAAAAGGATGCTATCCTATAGGTCTACTACGAAGGATACAAAAAAGATGAAGGGGGAACCCCGTTAAGTTTGTTTCCTTAAGTACCCGAAACGGGCCCGACTCGGTTATCCCAACCCTAGCCCTGAACCTTCCACCGCAACAGGTCCGCATCGACCCTGAACCCTACACCCTTACCGTCCCCCACTATAGTGTAACTCGCTATGTCCTCCTCTACTGGTCCGAAACCACACCGAGTCGGATTTCATGCTTGTGGTGACCGTAACAGCTCTGAGGCGGGTTCTTTGAGTATCTAGGTAAGGAGGCATCCTTACACTTTGCAGACTTATATAACTTCTTTAAGTAGTAGCTCAGATCAGCATGGTCAGCCTTGAGTGCTAAGTGAACAGCCTTCTCATCTTCAGTAAGGTTGGAGACGCAGTTGCGAGCTTTGATAGTATTCGCATTAGTGGAGAGTTCTTCATGTGCCTTGAGTTTCGCCATACTAACTAAACACGTGATTAGCAGAGATCTCCAGAAGTTCTGGCTATAGAATCAAGATAATAAACTTAGTTGAAGTCCTAGAGAAGAGGTAAAGGCTCAAAAGGGAAGAAGAATGTGTAGATCGGAGAGTAACCAAGGAAGGTGGTTCTAAGGTCGTGGTTATTTTAAAGTTGCAAACAAAAATATTTGTGAAGGAATATTCACCTACAAAGAATTACTGTTCCAAAAACAACACCACAATGCGCACCTTCATATAAAACACATACCTTTCAACCTCTACCTCTTTACTATACTCTTCTTCTGCAATATTCTTTCTACAAACTCACTGTAAGTACACATATCTTTTGATCTACTTCTTTATCTTGTGTTTACTTTACTAACTCACCTTGATATTAGCAAATGACTCGTACCAAGCAAACTGCTAGGAGATCAACTGGCAGCATAGCACCAAGGATGCCACTTGGATTACGGGCTGGCTCTGGGCTTGGCGGAAAGGGACAGGAAAAGGCTGTGGGCACAGCAAGAAAAGCTCCAGTTTGCTCATCTCAAGCTAGCAACAATCATGCTCAGAAGGCCACGCGCTGCACAAAGTCTAGTAAGAGGATTACCAGAGGATTACCAGAGGATTACCAGAACTCTCTAATAAACATATAGGCACCAAGGCTCTCCGCGATATCAGAAGACAGCAACTTGATACTAGCTCCCATTCCAGCGTCTTGTTAGGGAAATCACAGAAGACTTCAAGTCCAATCTTCGCTTCCAGCAATCTGCTATCCTAGCTCTTTAGGAAGCTGCTGAATGCTTCCTCATTCGAGAATTTGAGAGTATGATGTTTAAACATAGTGACAGGGACATACTAACAGTTATAGTGACAAACCTCCTCGCTATTCATGCGAAGAGAGTGACAATTCAGGCAAAGGGTATGATATTGGTTCGGCGTTTGCAGGATATGATGTTTAAGCTGTGGGCTTAATCGATGGAAATGTCTCTCACCCAGGAGTGAAGGTCAGATGAGTTCTGGCAACCATCTGGTAACCTGGTACCTAAAGGCCAAAGGTTATAGTGTGGAATAGGACATCAACAATATGGGAATGGAGTTGGAGTTATGGCGTCTTGATCAATGAAGTCGCACCCCGTTTTTAACATAAGTAATGGCTAATCAAACACGTGATATAACTGAGTTGCCAAGACCCATACTAGGTACTCAGCAAGTGAGTAATCCTCATTCAACAATACTCGGGACATGAGTGAGTAACTCAGCTGGGTGAGTAAAAATTCTACTACTCGACTCGTGAGTACCCAGTGCGCAGCCTAAGCACTTCCTTACCCGGCGATCCGAAGTTGTCGTTTCATCCTGATGCCCAACGAACCACACTCGCTTGGAAGTCCGTCAACAATACCAGAACAGTCACAAAGTTGATGCTGCATAACATCACACTACCCTCTACGTCTACCTTATTGGGGGCTCGACATCGTATTTTAGCCACAATACTCATGCTCGGGCGCTTGGCATTGATCTCAGCTCCGATCTGTAGCTGATCTTTCCCAGTTTACAGCTGGCTGCGTATTAGCCGCTCTGTTCAACGAACACAGAGAAGAAACCCGACGAGTTAATTGAAAGAGGCACGATTGGTACTGTAATATGAGACAGAGAGCATATTGTGTATATATGTTTCGTAGTTCAGCCTTGGTTTTGGTTGTACAGCGAGGCAGTGACAATCAACGCATTTATTCAGTGGGATGCCCATCTTCATCGAGAGCATCGACTCTTACTATTCACATTTCTTCATTGCCTGTCAGAAGGCCGAAGAACGCAACATCCAGCCAGTCATCAACACCAGTTCGCGAGGTCTTCCTCAAACACAACGTGGAGGAGGACTACAGCGCATGCCTCATTCACCGCCACTACGACCTGGCCGCCAATAAGTGTAACGTCGAGGCAGACGGAAAGGCTGTCGCCTCCTAGAATTTCACAGGTCTCTACCCTTCCAGCTGTAAAGGCACGTGCTACCCTTACGAGTATAAGAGATACGCTGTTCCACAACCTTCACCAGCATTTGTCGCGGACTTGGGAGACCTTTTGGAGGAGAAGGGTCTCACTGATTTGGTTGGGTTCCAGACGTACACAAATGGGATCGTCGGGCTCGAGACCACAGATCGGGAGACCAATGTGAGCACGACTGTCGACCAGGATGAGAAGCTTCCTGTCCCAGAGGGGATGGCGCTTGCATCTTGGGCATTTTTCCGTGTGCAAAGAAATAAGCTGTAGGTAGTTTAGGACTATCGGAGCCTCCTATACAGTTTCAAATCAATGGCATCGGATTGTGATCTCCCAAAAGTAGAGATGCATGAGCCTTGAGCTGCATGTAAATGCTCCCTGGTGACCGTCAGCTCAGTATCCAAGGATGCCAGCTGTATACAATCGAGATTTGCCAACTCAAACGCCGCCAACGGTTGTAATACGAACCAAAATGAAAGCGACCTACATGAGCCCGAATATCAAGTTGTCCCTCAGATAGTGATACCTTGACCCCGCACACGATAATCGTAGAGAGCCTGGCATAGGGTTACTAGCCCAACTGTCCGGAATGGCGGAAATGGAGACATTGCGATCTCATGACCGGAGCCGAGATGGCGACGTCTTTTGGTTGAAACTCGGGGAGGCATACTGATAAACGTGAGATAATCTACTATACCGTGGGATCCTCTTGTATTGGCAGGAGCGACCTATATCTCGAACTAGGTTGCTCCTTCCTTCCGCGGGTATTCGGGCTGCTTTAGGTCATTGGGCCTTTTGAACCTGAAGCTCGGCCTTCTGAGCCTGGAATCCGTGGAAGTGGGGGGCTATAAGCCAATTCTGGTAGCTCTCTTTTTGAGGGGCTACTCAAGTCTACTGGAACCCTCTCTTTCCTTCCATAACGGGAGGTCGCCAGACTACAAACTAAGCCAGAAAGCAGCTCTATAGGTCTAGAGGGAAGGACTTGAAGGAAGGGCGCCTCGGAAAAGAGGGTGGCAGCCCCTCGTAATGCATCCCAGCTCTTTCCGCGTACAAAGAGCCAGTTCCTGAATCAAAAGCCGAGAGCAACAGAGAGAGAGAGAGGGTAGGAGAGATTGCGGGAGCAACGAAGTGAAATTTCATACGATAATTGATTTTATGTACCTTTACATACAAATTACTATGAGAAGGTACTTGCACAATTTGGTAGTCGAAACCGCCCACATTGCTTCCCCTTAATACCACGGCGATGCTTTCTCCAACCTGGATGAGAGAAGAGAAAGTTTGGAAGAAAAGCCTACCTACGCGCATCCTAAGTCGCTTGAATATGGGATACGATACAGCACGGCCAACCCCCTCAATGACGATATAATCCATCGGATCGCGTTCATCCGCATCCGGCGGCTGGGCAATCTGGCAGGTGGGGTGGTGGATCGATGGTTGGCGGAACGGCTCTGTGACAGACGATGATGGTCTGTGAGGAGTTAGGAGGCAGTTGGGAGGGCTGACCGAGGCTACTGATGCGACTGCCTGGTTCGGCGTCGGCGGTTCAGTTCGGGTCTGGATCTCTCGATATGTAGTGGTTCTGCACTGGCTCATTTCCCACGCGTGGTCAGGTAGGCATCCACCGATGAAGATTTCTTCGGAGCCGGTCTTCGCTCGGTGTGGCCGGTGAAGTATATGGTAAAAACTATGTTGGTTCAGTCTGTCTGGCCGTGTATGGTCTGTCCTTCTACCACCGAGTCGTGGCTCAGCTCTTGATCTCGGTTGAGGCGGATGAAGTCATCGTTCCCAGTGCGCCCAATGAAGCTTTTTCAGAACCGTCATCTCATGGGGAGGCACAATCCCACAATCCCATCATCCACCCCATAATTCGACGGATCCCAAAGTGCTGGCCCGCACCCCCAAGTCAATGGCCAATCCCAAAGCAAACCTAACCTTCCTAATCTTCCCCGCGATCGCCGGTGGATCCTGGCCCATGAACTACGCCTGTCTCACCCATGGCGAGCTGAGCCGCTCTGTACGGTAATTGCGCAGAGGAGAGCTCCATCGCGCTAGGCCGACGCGATGCTGGGATTGAGACCTTGGCAGGCCAAACAATGCAGGTGCATGGCGCGTGTTGGCGACGGGAGTTCTTCTGTGCAGCGCGTTTGTTTGTACCGTGGAAGGGGAAGAGGGGATGAACAGAGATAAGCTGTACTGTAACTGTAACCAACGCCGACGGGCAGTTTGAGCTGTAGCCAGGCCCCTATGACGATGCCAATTGCAATGTGATGCGATTGACTGGTATGTACATCACCGCATCGCTGCATTGACAGCGAGTAGCGCAGGAGGAGCAGCAGCGGCCAATGGCTGGTTGACCGACGACGGAAGGAAAGAAACGGATGATGTCAGGGACGTTGTTTGTGAGACCTGCGAGTAAGATCTCCCCTAGGAAGGATGGAGTCGGCAATCGCCCACAGCAACCCTGCGAATGGTATCCCGTCAAGACAGAAGAACGAGATGAATGTGCGACAGCTATCGTTGGCTGTCTCACCCTCATCTCCGACCCGTCTTTCACTACAGACCAGTTCAGCTATATCCCAGCTGTAACCCAGCTGTATCCCAGCTATATCCCAGTGTATCCCAGCTGTATCCAAGCTGTATCCCAGGTCCAAACTATCCATCCTAGTCCTATAGCAACCACGCTTGTTTTGTGCCCTGGTCTACTGAAATTTAGGAATAATATTCCTGTTTTTTAGGCTCTAGCAAAGCTGCTAAAGTCCACTAAAACCTACTAGATACTGCTCTAACCAGACATTGACATTTCCATCCGACATCCATCCGACATTTCCAGAAACTCAGTAAATTAGACATTTCTATTGGAGATGGGGAGTATACTATACGCTGCACTCTCCTGCTCTAGTAGCTGCATCTCTCCTGCTCCTGCAGCCAACACATCACACATCACATACATCATCAGAGCCATCTCTTCGGCCTACATCTACATCTCTACTCATGCCTATACTTCTCCCCCTTGTCTCCCTCTCTATCAAGCATCATTCCCGCCTACTACCGCCTCACACCGCATCACACCGCATCACACCAGCATCTTTCCCCCCCCTTGTTGTCAGAATGTCTTCAATTGCATCCCACTAACGCACCAATATGAACACATTTGCCCTCCCCCCCCTAGCAACGGCCTTGCCCACCTGCCACCTCCAACCCCCTCCCCCCCACTTTCCCCCAATCTCCCCCAATCTCCCCCAATCTCCCCCAATCTCCCCCCAAATCTCCCCCCAATCCCAATCTCCCCCCAATCAGGAAATCCACACTTTCTCCAAAATCCCATCTTGTTTTTCCCTTCCAAGTACCGGGCCGCTCCACTCCTCACCGACCCACCTGCTTCAGCTCCACCAACATCGTCCCATCGCCCTCCTCCACATACATATAAATGTAAACAGCCCCGATTCGCGCCCCGATCTAAACAAAACCTCCTCTTCACCTCACCACTTCCCAATACCCAAATACACAACCTTTCCTCTACTCAACCTCCATACATTCACACGCAACCTCTTCACTCTCAACAATCATCAACATGAAGTACTCCATTGTCTTTATCGGTGCTCTCGCCGCCCTTGCGACTGCCCAGTCCGAGCTCTCCCAGTGTGGTGTAAGTGAACCTGGGCCCCAAATCACAACAATTCACCACCAAACAACCCAATGAACAATCACTCTAACACACCACAGCAACAATGCCTGCAGAGCATGCTCGCAAAGGCTGCCACCCTTGGCTGCTCCTCCGCTGATGCCGCCTGCCTCTGCAACAGGAGCGACTTCGCCTACGGTATCCGTGACTGCGCCAACGAGGCCTGCGGCTCAGACGCTCCTGTGATCATTGCCTACGGCAACACCTTCTGCAAGGGTGAGGCCCCTCTTACTCTTATGGGCGTTTGAACATCCGTACTAACGATGCGACTAGGCCACAACGGCGGCTCTGACAACGGTGCTGGCGCTTCCGGCGCTTCCTCCGCCGCCGGTGCTCCTACCGGAACTGCCGCCTCTTCTTCCGCAACCGCCACTAACGGTCCTGGTAGCAACGTAAGTTCCCTCTCCTCTCACTCACTGATCATATCTAACATAACCCAGACCGGCGGCGCTGTTGGAGGTGCCAGCGGCTCTGGCGCTCACGGCGGCCCAGTCCCAATCACCACCTCGGCTGTTGTCTCCGACTCCAAGACCGTCGGCTCCACCACCATCTACTCTTCTGACGCCAGCGCGACCCCGGTCACCACCATCGTCTCTGATGGAAAGGCCGTCACCACCCTCTACGGCGCCCCCGGTGCTGGAGGTGCGAACGGCGGTTCCGGAAGCGGATCCAGCGGTGCCGGGGGCGTAGTGAGCACTGTCACCAGCGGCCCCTCCACCTTTGTCACCACTGTCTCCTCTGGATCTGGATCCGCCTCCACGAGCGGTTCCCAGAACGGCAACGGCAGTCCTGCCGGCGGTGCCGGCTCCTCCACCGGCGGCTCCGAATCCGGCTCTAAGACCTCCACCTCCTCTGCTGGAGGTGCCAGACAGACTGCCGCTGCTGCCGGTGTCATGGCCGTGGCTGGTCTTGCTGCCTTCGTGTTGTAAGCGTCGACTTGCCTCACCTAATCTAGTATGAATGGAGTAGGACGGGGGAGTAATATATGTGGTGTTGCGGTGGTGGTGTGCGATACCCTTCTAGCCTACGAGGTGGTGGTCGTTGGAACATACATCTTCTCGACGTTCTTTACCGGGTTGGAGCAGGGTGCTGCGATCGACGGGTGCGTGTGAGGATGGTGAATGCCATCGATGATCACTGCCGGAACGCCAAAAGGATCTTATGCCCTGTCACGGCTTTGTATGTATGAGGTGTTAATAAGTAATGAGACGATGGACGGGGAAGAAATGGTCTTTGCTACATCCATCATGGCTTCGGGGTGGAGAATTAATAAGGTGGATGAAGGGGACGAGGATTCGAGATGCAGTATACAGAGAAATGGATTACTGGATTAGATATTGATGTGTTCTGATCTGAAATGTGTGCCTACTGTGATGTTTTTCTTCCGCTTTCCAGCGGCATTCAAGTGACTGTTCGTTGGTGGGAGGAGGCAGTGATATGGTCTAGACCTGACGGAAGGAACGACCTACGCATGGATGGTATGGAAGGTGTGACCCATGGAAAGTCTAACATAGGGAAGGCACGACCCCACTTGCAAGGAATGAGCGGGAAGGAGGTGCGGGACCAGGGACTAAGGGCAGCTGGGGTCAGCGAGACAACAATGATGCATTGAAGATTCCAGTCCTCAGCAGTATGTACAGTATCCTCTGGGCGTTCAATTTAGAACCCATCTCTCTTCCATTCTCTTGACATCTTACCGTCCGGCTTTCTTCCTGTCTCCGTCTTCTCACTTCTCCCTGTCTCACTTCATTACCCCTGTCACCCGTCTCACCCCTCACAACCCCACCAACTTCTTTCTCTTCCAACCTCTACGACGACACGTACACCGCCGGACCTGGAATCAAATAACTCTAAAACGAGGTATAAAGATTATACAGAATCCCCGGATCAGTCGGGGTATACGACCCCACCAGCGCCACGCCCGCCGGCTTCTTGGTGCCGCTGCCCTTAATATTGAGGTTCACACACTGGGGGTAATCCTGTGCCCCATCCGCCTGCCCCGCCGCATGCAACACGATGATCTCATGGCGCAGGACATACTCCCCCGGCGCCATATCCGCTGGGATCTTGACGCTCCATGTATTGCTATTTGCGATGAGAGTGTCAGTCTCCCAGTTACCCGGGTTGCTGCCGGAGAGGAGCCCAACGCCATCGATTTTAAACCAGCGCAGTGCCGTCTTATCGACCAATGCACAAGGCCCGTTGCAAGGGGCGAGGTAGTCGATGCCTGGCTCGTGGTGGGAGCTGGGCCAGGAGGTCCACTCGAGGATTAGGGACGAGCCGGCGGTGATGGCGGTGGTGTCTTGGCCGGGGGTGGCAACTTTGTGGCAGATGATGTCGGAGATGGAGAAGGCGGAGGGGGCGATAAAGCCGTTGTCGAGGTCGGTGGGGATGGACCAGCCGACCACCTTTGGGATAAGGTTGGCCCATTGGAAGGAGGGGTTGTAGCCGACGTAGTTGGGGGAGGTTAATCGGAAAGTGTGGTTGGAGCGGAGTGGTGAGAGGGAGAATGGAGGAGGGAGGGAGACTGGAGACGTTGTGTATATCCGCCTATAATCACCGTTCAATAAATGAAGCTGCCCCCCTGGCTGGGCGGAGGGGGACGTGCCGGCAAATGGGTGGGTGGGATATATATTGAGCTGGAGGAGCTAGGAGAATAGAGTGGTGTCGGGATGGCGGCATCGAAGTATGCTTTTATCCGTCGCGGGAGAGGTGGGGGGAAGAAATAGCAAGAGAGATGATCCGGCAGTTGCCTGATGTCCTCATGGCGGAGATATTGGGGTGCATGTGAGAGGTGAGGATATAGATGAGAGCTGCGACGGAGAATGCATGAGAGAGGCTCCGACCGTTGAGGAAGGAGATGCCGGTATCTTTGGGGTGACAGGGGAGGGGAGAAGAGTCTGGGGAAATAATCACGGGGAAGGCGGCTTGATGATGGACCGAATTTCCCATGTCATCTATAACGGCATATAATTGGCTTGCAAGATATTCACCGCTGTGAATTGGCTCTTTCAGATGAACCACATCTAGCAGATTTGACTTCTGCTGCCAACTTCTATTAATCCAATGTGCCGTTACTACAGAGTATTCAGTGTAATCGCGTGTAGATCACAAGTCAGTAGTTAAGCATATTCGGCCCCCATTTGCACAATATGAGAATGAAGTTCTGCTTGTAACTAAGCACGGCATAGTGAGAACCGCCTTTGAATATCGCGGTGTAGCGTTCTAGCAGATACTAACAAAGTAATAGGGCTTAAGAATTGAATAATTTGACGAAAAGGTAGACTATCACAAGGTGTAATGACAGATTGTTTGATACTACAAAATGGAGCAGTAAATCTCTATACTTTGATGCGTTAACTGGCTGCTTAGTCGTTGTCTTCTTTAGCTCAAAGAATGATGAGCTACTTGACGGACTTGATGCTGCTTGCAGCTGGTCATTCTTTCTCATGTTAAATGAGATTTGCGGGTGCTTTTAGGTGTAGTGCTTCCATAAGGAGGAGCAGCCTAAGCAGCCTGCACCTATGGCAAAGGAGGCCCAGGATGCCCTCTAGATACTAATTGAGTATTCTAAAGGCCATAATGCCCTTACTATAGGGCATATACGGGCACTAGAGCAGCTGCAAACAGCCTTTGAGGCTATTCAAGCCTAGTCACAGCAGCAGGTTACATTGATAGGTGGATTACATAATATTACTCTATATAATGATATATACGATAAGACGATGGAAATCCTTGCTATGGATGCCATTGTCTTAACAAGGGTTTGACTGTACTGTATTAGGGACCTAGAGTAGGGGAGAACTAACCCCGCAAAATGATGTCAAGGATCCCCTCCATTTACTTAGATGGGACCATTCTTTTACTTGTAACGGCTAGTCATCGACCCTAGATCTGTGCCAGTCCGCTCATACAGGTTCAATGCTGATCTTACTACAAGAACCCTGCAATTAGTCTAGAGTTTGTTGCTTACAGAGACTACAAGTCAGAAGGTGTTCGCAAGGGTCATTTTTGTCCTTCTTTCCTTGTTGTATTAGTTATGGTGGCTGATATACACAAGCTATAGTGATGCCCTGCGACGAAGCTGGGATGAAGGGGTTATACTTGTGACGCTTCTTAGGAGCACAGAAAAGCTACGGGATGATTTATAGTGAATCGGCTCGTAACTTCTCCAACCTGCTAGCTGTGAGTGACAGAGGATTATTCTAGCATCAGCAGTTCTCCTACAGGCAATAATATCACTCTTGAAGCTAATCCCGAATGCAGTGCTTTTTTAACTATTCTTCTCTGTCATACTGACATTCGTTGCACTCAGTTTGCTATCAAACTCAAGAGCAAACTTAGAAATCTCCTCCTCAAACCTACAAGTCACCATACATATCTTGGCTTATCACACCAACAACAGAAGCAATACTACTCAACGATTGCTGCAAACTCTTCTACTACATCTGTTTATGCTACATACATCACGGCATATCATTTGGACACTCATTGAACAAGTTATTAAGAAAATCTCCTCCTTAAGGGGGTGGGTCAATACTACCACATGGCATATCTCTACCAACTAGAGGCCTAGGAACATGAACGATAGCTCTAGAAGCTTCTACAACCCTCTATGATTCATTACACGTCATCGCTCCTTAGTTACCCACAAGATTGGTTAAGTTATGACATAATTTGTCTATAGGTACTCTGACCTTGGACCTCCTTTTCACTTCCTATAGGCTAGGAACCCAAGAGATGGTTCTATGGGATTCTCTTACGTTCACTACATGATTAGCAAGCTAGTTGTGGGTCGCACTTGATTTCTAATACATTTACCAAGCCTGGTTAGTCATGGAAAGTCATGGAAAATGAGAGAACTACACTCCTTTGGCATAAATAGGATTGCCCTTTCGTTAAGAAAGGGCAAGCAGGCAATACAGTAAATCGACTAGCACATACTTCTACGTCTTTTCCAAGCTTCCAAGCATTGATCTTGTTATTCTCTGTTTTTGAAAAGTCAGTGAGGTGCTAACCTCTGACTTACCCCTGAGTTCTCAGACTCAACATTTGTTGCAACTTGTCTAAACCACTTCACCACATCATACACCTGATTGCTGCGTTGTGGAATAGTCTAAGCTACAACCCTTTGGCTCTGTTTCCTAAGACAGTGTGTTGTCTTAGTAAATTCATCCCTTCCTTGGGTGGCTAGATTCTCATATCTGGTGCACCCACCATTACATTAAGGAAACAGACTCAACGGGGTTCCCCCTTCATCTTTTTTGTATCCTTCGTAGTAAACCTATAGGATAGCATCCGTTTAGCCTCCGACTCGCACTCTCATATGCTATTACTGTGAGCTGGGTGCCCTGTGTCCTTACAATAATGGCGTAGAGAGAGAGTGGGTGTTACACCCCGAAAGCGGGGTCTTGTACCAAGATGGCAAGATCCCATTACCAAGAGACCCTGCTCTCATAGAAGAGCTGCTACAAATACACCATGACGACCCGCTAGCTGGACACTTTGGTGTAACTAAAACGCTTGAGCTACTACAGCGTAAGTACAAGTGGACAGGGATGAATAAGGACGTGAAGGAGTACGTCAAAACCTGCCAAATATGCCAGAGAATGGTAACGAAGCGCCACCGCCCATATGGCGAACTATAACCGCTCCCACTACCAAGTGTCCCGGGAAAGGACATCACTATGGATTTATTACCGGTTTACCCCCAAGCCTACACCCAATAACAAAGAAGGCGTACGACTCTATACTTGTAGTAGTAGACCGATATACTAAGTACGCTATCTACGTTGCAACAAACAAGACGATTACCGCCCACGATTCGGCACTGTTAATCATCCGCTATGTCATTCCTGAGTTCGGGTTCCCAGAAGGAATTGTGTCAGATCGAGGATCTGTATTCACAAGCAATTATTGGGCAGCACTCTGCTTTTACTTGCGAATACGGTGACGCTTGAGCACCGCCTTCCACCCGCAGACAGACGGACAAACCGAGAGGCAGAACCAAACAATTGAGCAATACCACGGTCCTACATTACGAGCCTCCAAGACGATTGGGTAGCGTTACTACCGCTCGCCCAATTCACGTATAACAATTCACTTCACTCTACAATTAAGACCTCCCCTTTCCAGGCCTTAAAAGGATTCAACCCACAGATGGGAGACGTGAGTGTCGTGGACGCCCCTCAGAAGGGGGATGCACCCGAAGCAAGGGAGCGGGCGATACAGCTCCAGGTTGAGCGGGAAGCGTTAGCTCTACACTGGTTTAAAGCGACCCAGGCGCAGACCAAGCAGCATAACAAGAGAAGACAACCCGTAGAGTACAGTATGGGGGACCAAGTGCTATTATCAACAAGGAACCTAAGGTTGCGACGGCCAAATAGGAAGCTCTCAGAACGGCATGTAGGGCCGTTTAAGATTGTAGAGATTATTGTGAAGCAGGTGTACCGGCTTCAGCTTCCTATAGAAATGGGGGTCCACCCAACGTTTCACGTGTCCTTACTCAAGCCGTATCACGAGAGATGGCAGGGAGGCAGGGGGGACACAGTCACAGCACAACAGGCAGCAGGATTGTCATAAAAAGCGTCAATTCACATAAGGCCATGCCTTCTTTAGGGCTATTCCCTCGAATCTATAAGTATAGAGGGGCAGAATAGGGCATGCGTAGGGTGAGCAGGGCTCACATGGCACCGTAAGCTTCGCCAGCCGCGAGCTCGACAACCTTATCATCATCGTCGAGGAGAGTGTCCTCATCCTCTGCAGCACCACCGCCAAGGGCAAGCTCAAGGTCGGGAGTCACCGTCGTCCTCGCCAGGGTAAGCCTCATTCAGGCTCGCTCTCAGTGGCAGTCGACAATGGTTGGGTTGTGAGGGTGCTACAAATATTAATAGAGGAACGGAAGAAAAGCAGAAGGTAATCGTACCAGGGCCTTAACCAGGTCGTTGCTATGGCGCAAGGTACGCTGAATGCCATGCAGAGTGTCACAAATCTCAAGGAGCGCAAGTCCCTGGTTGATCTTGACGGGCTTAGAGTCAGCCCCGACGACGTGGCCGCGCCAAATCACATTCTTGCCCCGAGTAACCCAGGCGGTGTAGTTGGCCTGGCGCTCTTCGAGGATCTTTGAGCGGGCGCGAACGAGGCGGTTGCTCATCGGAGTGCGCTCCCAGGCGAAGAGGAACCGACCGTGCGCTCTCATAAGGCGATTAAAGCGGCGGATTGCAAACTTGGGAATATTGCCACACAGGTTAGGTGGGGCACAGGCAGGGGCGAAGCGGGGGCAGAGCAAATACCGGGAGACAGTGTCCATGTCCCTTAGAGCAATATTTGCAGCGGGTCATGACGTTAGGACGCGTGCAATCCAGATTCAGCTTCGCGGTATACACGCGTGCAATCCAGATTCAGCTTCGCGGTATACACGCGTTTGCTGCAACGCAGGCACATGGGGACGACCAGTTTCTCATGGGAACGGCGAACAGACGCAAAGTCAGGAGCGGCGACGGGAGCGACAGCGGACTTGGCGCGGAGCTGTTGCGCAGGCGTGCCAACATTGAGGTGGGAACGACGAGCAGCAACAGAAGGTGTCACAGGAAGGGCGAATGAGTCGACAGATCCCTCACGAGAGGCAGCCGCAGGGGAGGAATCAGGTCGCTGGCTGGCGACAACAGCCTCATCCTCTTCATCAGGAACAGGAGCCCTGGCATTGGACTCTTCGTCGTCAAGGCGTGGGGGGAATGCAGCCTTCGCGGCCTGACTGTGGGTGTTCTTCTTGGCCTTGGCCTTGGCCTTGCTCGCAGGCTTGGCCGGGCCAAGGAGACCAGCAGGGTCAACGACCGCCTTCTTGCGAGGAGGCATCCCGATGGCAGCGAGAGCAAGGTTGGTGGGGGTTGAACCTTCAAGATGATTAGTATCAGAAAGAAGAGTTCCGGAGCACACTCACAACGGAAGCAAGGCGACAGAGGAGCTCCTGGGAGGCGGAGTTGTTGAGGTTGTGAGGAAGAAAGGAAGAAGCAAAAGTGGGAGGAATTCACCCAAACAGCACAGCCACAACACGCGCAGGCGAGACTTGCCCGATTCCTCAGGCCGTAGCCGGTGCTGAAGCCACTCGGCAGTACCCATAACTTACAATACGGCCCGACCTCACATCTCGGGCTCAAAGGGGCTTGAGCCATAAGGGGGGGATAATTGTCACGAGTAGCCTCACGTGCAGGACCTGTCACGTGCGCTATAGTGCCAAGGCGGAGGGTCTTCCCTCCGAACCCCGCACGAGAACATATATAGTAGGAACGCGGCCCTTAATCGGAAGGGCAGCGTTCAGTCTTCGTATCAATAGAAAGCTTGACTACGTAACTATCTACAACGTGACTTCCCACTGCCCTGTTCAGCCAAGGCTCTCTTACACCCGCCTCATCTAGCGCGCGGGTCAGGAGCCCAAGCAGTAGCGCACGCTCAATGCGTAGGCTAGTGTGTCCCGTCTCCGCATCGATGAAGGGGAGGGCGCCGAGTTTAGCCCCGCTTCGAAGGGAAAAGATGCCTGTCTCCTTTGTCTCGAAGGCCACTTCCTTTGCAGCGGCTAGGAGGCCCAGAGAGGCAAGAACGCGCGAGACGGGGGGGGTGAGATTAATCGCGCCGCCGAGGGTAGAAGGGGATGCGCGCAGCTCGTAGATTGTAGGGATGGTGGGGGAGTAGTGGTGGAGGAAGAGGGCGAGGAGGGCGCCGGAGAGGCCCAGGCCGATTATGGTTGCGTGTTGCGGAGGCATGTGTGGGTTATTAGAGTAATTCGCGGTGAGTTTAACGCGTGAACTGCGAGTCCCCGGGTCGCTAACAGTCGGCCAACCCTGGGCATATCATTCAGCCACGACCCGTTGTTAGAGACGCATATGCAAACTTGGTAGGAGTTCCGCGGTGATACCGTCCCAGCCACGCGGCTGCTGATACCTCGCCGCTGCTGGATTGGCCCGTCTGTCACTCGACGTAGCTACTGGATCAAGCATTTTCGGCTAATAACAAGCGCTTTAAAGGGTCGATCACGATGACACCTTCGTGGCACCTTACTGTAGAGGATATGCGAGCTAAACAGGTGGGTGGAGGGGATAATAGGTCTGTTACGACAGGGGTGCAGGTTGGGCGGAATGTGATATTCCTCAATGCGACAAAACCAGATTAAAAGGACGAGTCGAGATAGCGAGCTATAAAGTTAATATTACATCGGAAAATTGATATAACACAGTAATCCAAATACTTCAATTTCAGTATCAATTCGACTACGCATAGTCCTTTAGACTTTCAAGACATGAGCGAGTACCACTAAATATGGCACACAAGCTCCACAACGCCAACCAAAATCTATACTCAACCCTCATAGCGCCTCTATCCCAACCCCTCACTGCTTCAACTTCAACCCCAGCCACCCCGTCGACAGCTCCCCCATATTCCCCATCGGTCCCCTCCAGCTAATATTCAACACGCCCATAAACACCTTCCCCCCCTCCCCTATCTCATCCGGCTCTCCCACCTTCTCCACCACAAAGCAAACCTGCCGAACCCCACCCCGACCCACCACCGCCTTCCCTTTCTCCTCTTTCTCCCCCTTCTCCCCCTTCTCCCCCTTCTCCCCCTTCTCCCCCTTCTCCCCCTTCTCCCCCTTCTCCCCCTTCTCCCCCTTCTCCCCCTTCTCCCCCTTCTCCCCCTTCTCCCCATCCCACAAGGACTCCAAACTCCTCGCGCGGAACCAGCTCTTCGTATCAAGCCTCACGCCTTCCAACACTAGAGCCTCCTCACCCACATTCTCTAACTGCGCCTCGAGCGCCCAGCCACCATCCACAGTCCCGATCTTTGTGCGTACTACCAATGCGGGGCGCGCCACGAACTGGTATAACTTCCTGAAGCTGCGGACGCGGCCGGAGGTCGATGTAGTCTCTGAGTAAGATACCGTAACGGCGAGGACGTGTGGTCCCTCCTCGCGGAGGTGACAGGTGATTATCCCTTGTAGACTTGCCGCGGGAGCGAGATGGGTAGGCGGCGGGGCAGACTGAGAGAGCGGGTCGGAGTCCGGCGAGGACGAGCTGGACGCCGAGGCGAAGGAGACGGGAAGGGAAGTATTGAGACTGGGTGTTTTCATCTCAGCTTCTATTTTTACGGAGTGCACGCGCGGTGAGTCGGTTGGGAGTTCATTGTTCGCGCAGAGGGTGCAGGAGAATGTCTCGCCGACGTAGGCGTTGCCGAAGGCGGGGGGGAGGATGAGGAGGGGCGAGAGGGCGAAGGGGAAGGAGGGCGCGGAGGGGTAGGTGAGGGAGGCGGCGCGGGGGATGGTTTGGGCGAGGGTGGATGTTGGGGAGGGGTGGGGGAGGGGGTATTGGATTGCGAGGGAGGGTCGGGTTAGACTGCGGGTGTGTTAGATGGGGATTGTCTGAGCGGGGATGGGGATGGGGTACGGACCGGAGGACTTTGAGGGAGACGGCATGGGGTTCCTTGGGCACTTCGGCGGTGCTCACGGACTGAGCGCGCTGGTGCGCCATGGTGTTCTGTCTCAGCTGTCAAAAGCCATTGGTTTCTGGGGATTGGGTCTACTTGGAACCTGGTCGTAAGCGGAGGGAGCCGTCAGCGGTTCTGCCGTGATTCACCGCCTAAGTTCTAATCTTATCAGATGGGGTTGGGTTGAGGAAGGGAGGGATGGCCGCTCTTGGCAATGATGGAAAGAAAATCAACCTCCCAAGAATATAAAATTGGATGCGAACGCAACGATGTCGATAGAAGAAGAGCAAGAGGAGAAGGCAGGGGAAGTGCAACTCGTACGAACAGAAGGCCTCTTACTTGTCCTAGACACCCCTAAAGGTACCCACACCCACCCACCACTCCACACACTGTGAAAATGACAGAGAAACAGGCCGAGGCGTCTTCGCAGGCAAAGACATCCCAGGGGATACAATTTTAGAAGTCTGCCCAGTTCTAATACTGGACCCTCAGGAGAACGAAGAGCACGTTAGGAAGACAGATCTTTATAATTACACATAGTAAGCCTCGCCTCCACGTGTTTTAGTGGCCCGTCATGCCCTGACATATCACACAGTAACTGGCCACTTCCGGCAGCTGAGGGCTCCAAAGCCCCGGGAAAGACGCAGGCGGTGGTATTTGGGATTGGGAGCCTTTTTAACCATTCCCAAAGACGGCAGAATGTTGGCTGGATGCGCGATGTGAGCAAGAGCGTTGTGGTTTATAGGACGCTACAGGATGTGAGGAAAGGAGATGAGTTATGTATTTCATACGGTGACCGTCTAACGTTTGTGGATGCGGATGCCAAACAAGTGGATAGCGATGATGAGGATGATAATGCGGCGTTGGCAAGAATAGACTTGTTTTGATATACGGTGTGCTCTTTATATTGGTTAAGAAATGGATTCTAGAGCCCACGAGGATCATTTAGAGAACTGGCTTTGATTTGTCTTCAAGTCTCCCCCCTCCGGCTTGCTCTTAGGGTCGATGTTTGATACGCAGTCAGGAATATGAGTTACGCTGCAAAAAACCGACGAACATGGTCAAGTTAGCTCCATCGTAAATATGAAACCAGCCGAAATAGGATATTAAATCATGACCTTAGATTTATATGATAAAGCCACTTCTCGGGGTCGGAGCTGCTGGATTTGGCAGGGCGCGGTTGCTGCTTTACGCACCCTTTACCTCCACACTAAACCCAAATGCACGTGATCGCAGATCGCATCACAGACACATGTCGGCGGGTTACCCTTCAAACGGGTTCCTGGTTCCTTGCTTTCTGCTTTCCGTTTCTCTCTTTCTGCTCGCCCCAAGGTACCACCCACTGGCCATCATGATCATGAGGGCCACTACACGATGGACCCCCAGGTCGCTCGGACTGGCCACTTGTTTAAATACCTTGCTATCCCGTGGCCTCCATCGACGAGCACCACCTACCTCTTCCCAGAAGCTTGCCCTCTCGCGCCCTCGAACAGGTCAGCCTGATACGTATTCGTCTCCTGAAGGCAGGCCCCCGCGACTCAGCATTCGGAGCTCTGCGTTCATCTCATCATCCCAGGTCTATCGCTGAGTCGCCCATCATGCCCACCAAAGGAATGGGCAACCGGCAACTGCCTACTCCGAAGCAGAACATGATAAGCTTCGTCACCAAATGGACAAGACAAGCTCAACAGCCAAAGAAGCCTAAGCGTACCGCCGAGGACTACCGGATTATGGGACGAGAGCTCAGCACCAAAGCTCAGAAACCCAAGGATGCCGAAGCCACGAAAGAGAATGTCCGAGGCATATGGCGCAAGTGGTCCAAGTAAGTCGACAACGTCTCCTTCAAGGCTCCTATCACTTACTCGAGGTAAGGTTCTGCGCTTTTCAGGGGGTGGACGATGTGCGAAGAGCTATTCAACAATGCGATAATGCGACAACTATGTTGTTCCTGTGCTTCATCTGCGAGAATTATAAAGTTAAGGCGTTTAACTCTGTCCACCAGTACCTGCTGCAGTTCAAACAACTCTATAATCGCGTCAATGGGTGCCACATGGATACAAACGATGCAAAAGAGGTGTTCAAGGTATGCTCTTGTATTCTATGTTATTTATGGAAGACATGGCACTGACATCACCGTCCTTGTAGTATCTAGATACGACCTTGGCAGACGAATTCAAACTTAGACGGACGATGAAGGCCAAGCCAGTGTTAGGAGCAGACGATATCCTTCTCCTCCTCACTCACCTCTGGGCTCGTGATACCTCCGTATTTCCGACTGAGGACCAACGGTTAACGACTGCAACAATAATGCTCCTTTCTATCTATACTGGTTGTCGACCTGCCGAGCTGGTTGACGCCTTAAAGCGTGCAGGCGGAAAGACGACCTCTCGCAAGCGCCCACATATAGAAGTCTGGGATGCCATTAATGACTTGGACGAAGATGAGTGTGCAGATGAGGGAGAGGGATTAGATTAGCCGAATTATCAAGGGCGAGCGCCATGGGATAATAAAAACGATTCTGAATATGATGATGATTACTTCGACCCTGACACTGTGGAACGGGAATATAAGAGTTTATGCTACGAGGACATCCGTCTCTGGATTGTTCGGAACCCTACAGAGGAAGAACGAGACCTCCTAGGCATGGAGATCACTTTCTCCCATCACAAAGGTGCTGATAGGAAACCGAAACCGTATGTCCCTCCATAATGCCTCTCCCTTATCCCAACTAACTTCACGACTTTAGCACGACTTTCCTCTTTCATGAAGAAGCCCTTCCCATACTTTGCCCTATCAGCCATGTCTTGACTCACGCAATAAAGGATGATGCAATTGAGGTTGAAGGCTCGTCGCAGGCAGAGCCTTTCTTTACAAGTCATCTGCAGCACCCTACGAAAGCCGTATTGATTCACTGGAGGCCAGAGATGCTTAAAACGCCTATATTTCGTCAGGCCGTACGCACGTGTGATATGTTCCGTACGTCGGAGTGGAAGGCTCTACGCTACTCGACCTATGCGTACTACCTTGATCGTCTCGGCTGGGCAGAAGTTAACGAGCTACTGTTTTCGTAGAGGCACAGGAAACGCTGTTGACAGTAAACTTCTCACTGATCATAGTTTGCTTCAACTAACGAGTTCGTAGGAGCTGCGACGACAGCAGTTCGCGACCAGATACTAAGATACAATCCCCAGACTGGCGTCTTTTGCGGATCATACAACAATGAGAAAGTCAGGTTTATCGTTCAGGATGCAGTGCTAGACCAGCCTACCGATTCTGGCTTTCTTCGGGCTTTCACGCACATGAGCCTCACTTGTGATCCCTGCCGGACGATGTTCGCGCTGGCCTCCCACCCAATCCAGAGCTGGTGCAGCTGAAGCTTGAGCAGCAAGAGCTTCGCTTGGAGCTTAAGCATTTATATGGACACGCATTTGTTCAGGGTTCAATTGGAACAGAAGCTGGTGAAGAATATCATCAATTAAGTCGACAGATTGCCACGGTAACTAAGACGTTTGAGCAAGAGCTCAAGAGGGAGTACCGCCGAGACTACTTCTATCGTATCCACAACGAAGAACTTGAGAAGATCCTTAAGAAGGTCACAGCCTTGGCACCGACATATGTTGAGCCTGTCGTCAAGCACCAGCTGCCGGAACGGGCCCAGCTTCAAGAAATCATGTGCGACCTTTCTAAGGATCTGATTGCACGTAATATCATCATACGACGGATTCATGCCATCAACACAATGGTCGCACTATCTCGTCGCCAAGAAGTTCAGTGTCATAAGTCGCAGCTGAGCAAATCGTCCTCGGGGTCTTCTCTTGGAGGGTCCCCCAAGGTGAAGGAAGAACCGCCTGTTCCCGAAACTTTTTTCTGTGAAGTGCAAGGAAACTCAGTGTATATTTTGTATCGGTGACGATCGTCAGAGTTATGACAGGCGCATGCGCACATTTTCGAAACCCGACAAGATGAAGGACAATGTTGAGAGGCATTTAGAAAAGAGGACACGCGGAAAGTATGAATGCTGCCATCCAATTTGCAAGGCCGAAAGGCTACTTCTCAACAGCATTATCCTTTTCAAGAATCATGTGGAGATGGTGCACGGAATTAGACTTAGAGGCGAAAAAGAGGTATCTTGAATAACTGCTCCTTGTGGCATTGTTCGTTCCGAGAGACTCCGTAACCTTTGCCTTCTGTCTTCATTCAGCAAGTAATCGTCAGATCGAACTACCCGCTTCGCTCACATATTGTAGGTGTAAATCTAAAATACCCTTCTCGAGGAATACACTTAATGAAGCTCCTCCGTGTTAAATGAACATGATATTGTCATGATACGCAACAGATGAGGAAGCAATGAAACTGCCAGTGAAATGAGGTGTGGGCACGAAAGGACAAAATAAATATATAAATAAAATGACAAAAACATACAACAGTGGGTATTCGCTGGTGGTCACCCACCCAATTACTAATCCACCGATCTCAAGGTTATGTATGGCAGAGCGGACGGGATGCCCAGTTCCCTTGAGTATATGGTCGTATGTGATAATTACTTGCATATTGGGAGATATACAGTAGGAACTGTGATCTAGTAACTGGCAAAAAGCACAGAAGGCTGCCAATATTCTTAGCGGTCACCCTTCTTTCGTTGTTCTCCAAAAAGCTGTGAATGTTTTCACTCGTACGAACCTGGCTTTTCTGTAGCCAATCTTCCTGGATCAAGGGGACGTCCAGTTCCATAACGTCCTTCAAATGGGGAGTTACTTTCTGTAGACTGATCAACATCCACCTCTGATGGGCTGCAACCAATCTTCTGTGAAAGCAGCTGAAGAGAAGTATCTGACATCTGTCCAAGCAATTGTCTCGATCTAGACCAATCGTCACGCGCTTCGCGGAGATCAGATCCCCAAAAGTTGCAACAATGATCTGATCACCATCGTCACCCATCAAGACATCTTCGAAAACATGTATTCGATCTGGAAGTGCTTTCTCAGCTGCTTCTGAGCAGATTTTCAAGCTTTGTTCAACTCAACCTTAATTCTTCTCTTATTGTTTCTTGCTCTATTGCCTGTTCGCCGGAGAGAGTATGACGTTGCGAAGAGCTGCTCATTAATCCTGTGGAGCTGTTCTCTGAGCTGACACGTGGTTTGAGCTAGGCCCAACTTGCAGTGGTTAAGAGTATTGTTCGTGGCTGCTTCTGCTTGTGTAAATTTCTTAGACTCGGCCGCAGAGTCCTCATTGTATGCTGATGTCCCAGCAATGTTCACAAAAGCATTCTGTTGCACATCATCGATGTGTGCAGAAACTTAAATGCAGATATCTAAACAGCTCTGTGCACTGTCTCGCTCTTCTTTGATTCGTTGTTGCTCCAAGTTATCCACATTGATCGCCTGAGCGCCTTGTGAACTGGCCTGTAGCTTCTCATCCAACTCTCGCAAGTGCTCTTTGAGATCAGAGGTGGTTTTTGCGATCATCGTATTATATTCATTTAGGAGAGAAATCGTGACATTAGTCGTTCTTCTACAAAAATGTGTTAGCTATAGCTGATAACAGGAACCAAGACTAGACCAAACTCACATGTTGGCATCACCAAGGGCAATAGCGATTGTGGATTTATAGCCTCCTAGCATATTCTTAAATGCGTTAATATCACCAGCCATATAAGTTAGAGTAGTCCAGTCGCGAAGGCTCCTCCTCGTTCCATTGGAATGGTTCGTGCATTTTAGCACTATCGCTTCGAATTCTTGACAAGCCTGGTTACATCAAGTTAGAGGAAGTGTTAGCGATGTTAGGTCGACCTTTCCATTGCTGATAGTAGCATGGAGAGACTGCAGAACCGCATTTAAGGCTTCGAGTTCTTCTTTCAAGCCTCGTATAGTTCTTTGACTGCTTTGAAAGCTTGAGATTAACTGATGCAACGACTGTGTTGATTTAGCTGCAAAGGTTACTAGCGCCAAAAGGCTAGCAGTAACGCTCAGTGGATCTGCCATTGTAGACAGCTAATGATAGTATACGGTAAGAGCGACCCTGCGGATATATACCTATGGCCATAACATGCCAACCAGGTGATGGGCACATCAGTTTCAGCGAGCGTGGCTGTGCTACATTTGCCAGCCGCACGCTATCACGGTGCGCCAGTTGCCTTCAACAATTAGATATTTACTATGTCTACGGGATTGGGGGATAATTGTCGACGATGAGGATGTCGAAGATGAGGATGTCGAAGATGCAAGTGAACATATAGGTTAGGCATAGTTAAATATTTTCCATAGTTTTCAATATTCTATACACTCTATTTAAGCCTCAAATATTCGAGCAGCAGCACATATCAAGACAAGAGAACATCTAGAAACGCGACGATTTATTAACTACCAACATATCAAACACTATAATATGCTATAGCCACATCGGGGCCTGGACCAAAAACAATACGAAAAAGCCACGCAGTATCCCAAACCTGCAACTAAACAATTGCAACAAAAAACCTAAAGCGTGAGCCATAAACCATATACCCATTCCTCCTCATACAACCCTATCATACTCGATTCTTACACCTCGGGGTTCAAACATCCATCTAACCACTACACATCAAGCAGCTCTCCGGGTTCTCAATGCTGCACGCCAGCACAGCATCGGCGTAGATATCATTCTCCCTCTCATCGCTATCCGGCTTATCCTCCGACTTCGATAGGTTGACATCCTTCAACTCCTCATCCTGCATCGCACCCGGCTCAGCAGCTAGCGCCTTCGGGCTACCGCCCTCCTCGACATCAGCCTTGAACCCTGGGCTCTTCAGCGGGGGGTTCACCGGCTTCCTCGCCTCGGTGGGGGGGGGGTGGTGCTGGGTGTTGGGACACCGTTGGGGGAGGTGAGGGTGTTGTTGGGAGGGCTGGAGTTCTGCTTCATGTACATTGGTCGCGGGGCAGATGGCTGCGATGAAGGGGCAATGTATGACTTCGCGAGGGGCTTGCGCGAGGAGGTACGCTCTCTTGCAACGTTGGTGTCGGCGACGAGGAGGGCCTCTTGGTCGACGGTGAATTGGATAGGAGCCGAGGCGGCCATGGTGCGGAGGTAGTACATGCCGGTCTTGAGGCCGAGCTTCCAGCCAGCAAAGTGCATGGATGTGATCTTGCCCATTGTTGGGTCCTTCATGTGGATGTTGAGGGACTGGGACTGATCGATGAAGGCTCCACGGTCAGCCGCCATCTGGACGATGGTGCGCTGGGAGATCTCCCAGACGGTCTTGTAGAGGGCCTTGATGTCGGCGGGGATGTTGGGGATATTCTGGATGGAGCCTCCGTCCGCGATGATGCGGTTCTTCATGTTGTCAGACCACAGTCCCATGTCGACCAGGTCCTTGAGCAACCAGGGGTTAACGACTTGGAACTCGCCGGCCAGGACACGGCGCGAGTAGATGTTGGAGGTGTATGGCTCAAAGCACTCGTTGAAGCCGAGAATCTGGGAGGTGGAAGCAGTGGGCATGGGTGCAACGAGCAGAGAGTTGCGGACACCGTGCTGCTTGATCCGAACCTTGAGAGAGTCCCAGTCCCACAGGTCGGTAGGAGTAACGCCCCACATATCGTATTGGAGCTCGCCCTTGGACACTGGCGATCCCTCGTACGTCTCGTACGTGCCGTGAATCTGGGCCAGCTCCACGGAGGCAGTCAAAGCACCGTGGTAGATGGTCTCAAAGATCTGGGAGTTGAGGAACTTGGCCTCGGGAGAATCGAAGGGAAGGCGAAGAGCCAGGAATGCATCAGCAAGACCCTGGACACCAACGGCAACTGGCCTGTGACGGAAGTTGCTGCGCCTGGCCTCCTCGACGGGGTAGTAGTTGACGTCAATGATCTTGTTCAAGTTCTTAACAACAACCTGTGTGACCTCATGAAGCTTCTGGAAGTCATATGTGCCGTTGGCCATGTCAACGTACGTCGGCAGGGCAAGAGATGCCAAGTTACACACGGCCACCTCATCCGGGGCAGAGTACTCGACGATCTCTGTGCACAGGTTGGAGCTGCGGATGGTACCGAGGTTCTTCTGGTTGCTCTTGCGGTTGCAAGCATCCTTATACAACATGAAAGGGTTTCCTGTCTCAGTCTGAGACTCGAGGATGGAGTACCAAAGCTTCTGGGCCTTGATGGTCTTGCGACCCTTACCCTCCTTCTCGTAGCCCTCGTAGAGCGCCTCAAACTCATCGCCGTAGACGTCCGCCAATCCAGGGCATTCGTTGGGGCACATGAGAGTCCAGGCGCCGTTCTTCTCAACACGCTTCATGAAGAGATCCGGGATCCAGAGAGCGTAGAATAGGTCACGGGCACGGACTTCCTCCTTGCCGTGGTTCTTTCTCAAGTCCAGGAACTCAAAGACATCCGCATGCCATGGCTCAACGTAGATGGCGAAAGCACCGGGTCGCTTGTTACCACCCTGGTCAACGTACCTCGCGGTGTTGTTGAAGACGCGGAGCATGGGAACGATACCGTTCGAGTTTCCATTGGTACCGGCAATGTATGCACCAGTGGCACGGATACGATGGATGTTTAATCCGATACCTCCAGCAGTCTTTGAGATCATGGCACATGTCTTGAGCGTGTCATAGATACCCTCAATACTATCCTCCTTCATGTCGACCAAGAAGCAGGATGACAGCTGGGCCTGTGGTGTACCAGCATTGAAGAGTGTTGGGGAAGCGTGTGTGAAGTATTTGGAAGACATGAGGTTGTATGTCTCGGTTGTCTTCTCAATATCCTCGCCGTGAATGCCCACCGCAACACGCATAATCATGTGCTGTGGTCTCTCAGCAACCTTGCCATCAAGGCGGAGAAGATACGATCGCTCAAGAGTCTTGAAGCCGAAGTATTGGTAGTTGAAATCACGATCGTAGAGGACGGCAGAGTTGAGCTCCTCCGCGTGCTTCATAACTATGTCATATGTCTTCTTTGCAATCATGGGCGACGGCTTCGAGTTTTTGGGGTTTACGTAATGATACAGGTCGTGGATGACGGACGAGAATTGCTTCTTCGTCTGCTTGTGAAGGTTCGACACAGCAATACGTGCAGCGAGGATGGCGTAGTCTGGGTGGGTGACGGTCATATAGGCCGCAGTCTCGGCAGCCTGTGACATACTGTTAGCAATTGAACGGCCTACAGCAACTGGACTCCCATGGAAGAGGTTATACATACCAAGTTATCGAGCTCAATGGTGGTGACACCCTGGTACACACCAGAGATGACCTTTTGTGTGATGGCAGCGGCGTCGACATGCTCAGCGTCCAATCCGTAACACAGCCTGGAGACACGAGCTGTGATCTTGTCGAACTGGACACGCTCCTTGTTCCCATCTATTGGTCTCGTTAGAGGTTGTAGCTGCAGGGTGGAGTTTGCATGAACTTACTGCGCTTATACACGAACATGGTGACGAAAGCGACTCGACGTCACTGGAGGAGAGACTTGTATGGTTATATGAGGTAAAAGAAGGCGTAGACAACAATGGGGATGTCTTGACAGCCTTGATTTAAGAGAAAGGGAGGGGAAGAGGAGTTGAGGTGGAAGATGAGGAGAGTTGATGTGGGAAGAGAAGAGCGGGCAAACCAGAGTTGGGGTTCAAGTACTTTACGCGTTCATTGATAATCCGACGCGACTTGCCGACATTTTAGCTCTAGCGCGACAAACATTGTGTAGGCAGAACAACGCGACAAGTGGCGAGTCACGTGATCGTTTATTTTTTGGTGTGGATGAACAGCTTCATTTCCATGACAACGGACAGAAGGATTGAAAATGAGTCATGTACGCGTGAGATAATGCCTGGAAACGCCCTTTGAATTACTGTGCACGGGGTCAAGCTTGGAGTCGATCTATAAAGGGCCGAATGCTAGTTTCTGGAGAATCGAGATGCCACAAACACATGCAAATCCCAATTCAAATACCCAAGGCCTATCTCTTAGAAACAAGTCAATTAATTATAAGAAATAGAACGTGAAGCTCACTAAAGAAATGTGCACTGGAACAAGATTGCAAATTATTTTCCAAGTGGTGTAGAATCCCCAGCCCCCTCTCACTACATTCCCAGGACCTCCGGTATATATCACTCTACCCAACCGCAGTCGAGTACAGCAGCGACCAGGAAGAAAAAGAAAAGAGGAAGTAGTGAAATGCAATGCTATAACAATGTTAACACCACCCAAGCCGAACATCGACAGCACAAGCAGAGTCTCCGCCACAAATCACCACACCCCCACAGGCAAGCCATCGCAGTGAGGAAAGAGATCTTCAAATAAACTACGGCCTATTGCTATTACACCATGGAAAATGCGAATCCGTCCGGGACACATTGACCATCATTCACCAGACAGCTTGAAACGTTTCAGACCAACGAGACAGAAACACGGGAAGAGAGGCAGGCAGGCCGGCACAACCACCACCACCAAACAACAACATCAGCAGGGCAAGCCACACACGCACACACAAACGCAGAGACGCCGCAGAGAAGTAGCCCGTCGCCCAGCGCACTCAATTCCAAGAGGAGAACAAAGGGGCCAACCGTGCGTGCGAGAGGGTCCAGACACAAACAGGCGCGGAGAGAGATAGATAGGAGAGTGCTCGCCTGCACACCGGACCAACGCCAATCCCTTCATCCAGCCCAGACGAAAGGGGGGAAGAACACCCTGATGGCAATGATCGAGCCCGCAGCAAACACGGAGTAGTAGTAGTAAAGGTATGCATGCTCTCAACCTCTTATTTTCCGAAAACGGGGGTTCCGAAGGAGGTCCATTAACATCAACCGATCTCGAGACTGGGGAATGATGGGCGTAGACGAGTCCTTTTTCCTACTTTCAGCCAAACAACCATCTCACCAACTTGAGTCCGGACGAAGCAAAAAAACGAGGTTGATTGCATAGACAGTTGGTATCGATATGTCTACAGGATGAGGCACTTGTGTCCCTTCTTGCCTCCCTTCTTGGAGAGAAGAGCGGCACGGGTTGCGTGCTCAAAGACCTCGCGAACACCCTCGTTGGTCTTTGCGGAACACTCAAGATACTTGTAGGCACCAATCTTCTTCCTGACCTCCTCTCCCTATTTCGCAAAACGTTAGCATCGGGACAAAGACGTTGTGTGCAACTGGGAGATGGCGCAGCGGTAGCCGCCCGAACAGGATTCCTTTTCATACCTGCTCTGGTGTAACTGGCTTCTGGCTGGTCTTGTGAAGCTCCTCGATGGTCTTCTGGTCGTAGCGAAGATCCTTCTTACATCCGACGAGGATGATTGGGAGCCCTTGGCAGAAATGCAGCACTTCGGAAATCCACTGTGATGGCAAAAAAAGTTAGCCCAGCCTTGCCAGCCTACGTACGAGACGCAATCTCCCACGGGGAGGGCTACAGTACCTTCTCCTGGACGTTGTCGAGGGAGTCGGGGGAGTCGACGGCGAAGCAGATGAGAATTACGTGGGAATCGGGGTAGGAGAGCGGGCGGAGACGGTCGTAATCCTCCTGGCCAGCCGTATCCCAAAGAGCCAGCTCGACGTGCTTTCCATCGACCTCAACATCGGCCACATAGTTCTCGAAGACGGTTGGGACGTAGACCTATCAAGCCACATTATCTCGTTAGCCGTTATTCCTCGTATCTGGTGGCAGAGCATTCCGCTGTGTATGGGCTTACCTCTGGGAAAGTGCCCTTGGAGAAAACACTTGAGATAACATCAGCATCGGCGTGGATGGAGAGATGAGCCGTGGAATAGACGGCTCATCGAGGCAGCAGCGATGGGTTTGGGTACTTACATCAACAGACAAGTCTTACCACAAGCACCATCACCGACGATGACGAGCTTCCGACGGATCTCCGCCATACTGTCGGGGGTGAAGTTCGTTTGTGGGAAGGGGTGGGGAAGATGGAGTGAGTGATGTAAGGGTGAGATGAGGATCTCAGCCTGGGGTGGAGGGAGAATTCGTGAGGTTCGGAGGTTGTTGATGTGGTTGATGGTGGTTAGATTGTGGTTGTGAGAGATCAGAGGGGTTTTGGATGCGAGGTTGCGAGATGGATTGTCTGGTGTCAGGTCAGGTCGTCTTTGCTGTTCTTAGGAGCTTAGCGGTGTTTGGTGTTTGGTGTTTGGACGGGGTTGGAAGGAGGGAAGGGGGGAAGGTGGGAAAGGTGGGAAGGTGTGGGAAGTAGCAGGCAAGTGTGGTAGGGTGTGGTAGGGTGTGGTAGGGTGTGGTAGGGTGTGGTAGGGTTGGAGGTGCAAAATAAGTAAATTAGTCTTGGTTGGGGGTATTAGTGACTTGACCTCTCTAGCTTTTGTGCGGTGCCATACCACGCAGGGAACTACAGAGCAGAGGTACCGGGTACAAGCGGTCTCTGTAGTTTTGGTTAGTTTTGGTGCGCAGGGACTTGATGAGTATACAGTATGAGTATAATGTGCATACGAGGCTCGATGGAGTATCCCCTGCTCCCCTGCTCCCCTTATCAATCTTCCCATCGTCTCCCTACTCGATGCCTCTTTCATCCTCAGCTCCCAGTGCGCATGGATAGCCTCATCTCATAAAAAGCCTGTTATACACCGTCTACCTGCTCGCCGTGGATTTTCCCAGTTTCCCACAAAGCACAAAGGGGGCTGGCAGGCCCGTACGGCCAAGTAACCCGTGTGCCCGTGTAAAGTACCCGTGTACCCATATAAAGTACCCGTGTACCGTACAAAGTACCCGTACGACACACCGACTTGTACGGCACATGTTTCCTTAAGGGGCTCACACTCAATCAAATCACGCCTACGGAGTAATCGCCATCCGAAACACCCAAATGCGTAACGTAACGTCTGGAATCCCTATAAATAACCGTCTGTTGCTACATTCATCGACGTTCTACCTCACCGGCCCGTATATAATCTCAAACTCCAGCTGCTTCCCAGCAATATCTGGCTTTCTTCAGCTGAACAAGGCGTGCTCCCAAACAACCACAACCACATCACTCCAGACGCAACAAGCGCGATGGGGGTAACACAAGAATCCAACTATCCAACTATCCAACTAAAATTAACAAGCTGACGCCGCTAATCCCTCTTAATCCGCTGAATTAATGCCACAATCCCCAATAACTCATAAGCACGTGACCTAGCCTTATCTCAAAAGCCACCAGAGACAATCGGCCCCGTTTGAACAGATCCCACGCTAGTCCCCGTAGCAGCCTTATTTGGTAGCCTTCAAATCGAGGCCACCAGGACCTCAAAACAACCTCCAAATCCACTAGTCTCAATCCACACTAGCCTCCAATCTCAATTCAAAGCTGCTCCTCAAAATTATAACGACACGACAGCCTCCCCCAGGCCGACTCTCCTACGCACGAACGTCACCACCCACCATGCAGTCCGTTATCCGCCGCACCGCTCTCGCCGAGAGGCAAGCCGCCCGGCGTCTCGTGAAGCGCCGTACGAAGAACCATCATGAGGAGATGAAGACGCGGCGGGAGCAGGAGCGCTTCGGTCAGAAACATTTGACGGGGGATATCAAGAATGCCCGGGCTGCGAGGCGTGAGGATTACGATCTTGGTCCGTTGGCGCCGAGGCGTGATGTGGGATTGAAGAAGGAGACGTATGGGACGATTCACTCGAATCAGTTGCAGGGGCCGAAGTTGACGATGGAGGAGAGGTTGGCGGTTAATCCGTCGGGGGGGAGGTTTGCCAATATCGTGGCTGGGGATCGGGTGGTGGTGTTGGAGGGTGCGGATAAGGGGAGGATAGGGAAGGTGCAGAGTTTTGATACGGAGAAGCAGCAGATTGTCGTCGCGGGGTTGAATATGGTATGTCTCTTCCGAATCTCTCCTAGGGCACTGTTTCGGCAGGACAGCCCCCTCAAGACAAAGACTAACGCATGCCACTACAGGTCGACATCGCAGTCCCCAAATGGATGATGACCTCTCCCGAGTCCGGCGGCCGCCCCGTCCGCAGCATCGAGAAGCCCCTCTCCATCGCATCCGTCAAACTCGTCGTCCCCCTCCCCGACCCCGAAACGGGCAACGTCCGCGACGTCATCGTCCGCGACATCGTCAACAGCAAGATCATCTTCAACAAATCCGGCGGCGCGAATTTCGTCCGCATGATCGCCGGTCTGAACACCGTCATCCCGTGGCCCAAGACGGCGCCGAAGGAGCACCCCGACCACGACGCTGATACGCTGCGTATCGATGTCGAGACGAGGACGTTCCTGCCGACGCTGCTGAAGCCGCCGATGCCGGATAGTGTGATTGACGAGCTGCGGAACCGGTTCTCGATCTTCCGTACGCGTCACGAGGACGCGTATCTCGAGAAGAAGGAGGCGGAGGAGGCGGCGAAGGAGGAGCGCAAGGAGTCGATCAGGTTGATGCGGACGCCGCTGAATGAGGTCAATAAGCGCGAGAGGACGAAGCGTAAGGCGTTGGGGAAGGGGGAGTTGACGGAGGAGATGTTGGCGGGAATTGGGGCGGTGATTGCGAGGAAGAGGGGGAAGGCGCTGGAGGCGGCGGGGTTGGAGGCTTCGACGTTCTAGATGGGCGTGGTGTGGGCTTTGTACAAATAGGGGAAAATTGCGCGTGTTGTTGTAGTAGTAGAGCGAGAACTGTGATGGTTGTGTAGTAGAGTGGGCATTATAGGCGTTTGCATCTTCATTTGTCAAATCTATATATGTACAACAATACAATCGCATTATACACATATCCTTACCGCTTCTCTGTGCTTTCCCTCTATATCTTTCTTCCGTATCACCGCCACGCATCCCATCCTCACTCCACCAAAAACCCCCTCCACTCCCTCCCCCCCTCCTCTTCCCCACCACCTCCCCCCGTTCCACAACCTCTTCCTCCCTCCCCCCTCCCCCAACCCACGCTCCCACTGCACCAAAAACCTCTCCGCGAGCCCCAATCCCTCCACAATCCGTCCACTCAAACTCAAGCCCCCCACCCTGGCCCAACTCTCCACATACACGCATCTCGCTCCCTTCTGGGCGTTTAGCACGCCGAAGAAACGCAGTACGAACGCCGCGATGAGGACGAGTACGCCTGTTGCGGGGCCGTTGGTGAGGATTAGGTCGGGGGCGGTGGGGTGGTATGGTCCGAGTTTCGGGCGTGGGTGGGTGGGGGAGAGGAAGCGGAGACAGGAGAGGAGACAGAGGAGTGAGGTGAGAGGTGCTGTATACAGCGGTTGATGTATGCGACGCGCCCGCGGGACGGTGAGGATTTCGAATCCCTCCCCGCGGACTACTTCAGTGTTCTTCTCATCTGCCGTGGTGGTCTCCACACCAGTAAGCCCGCGCTCGAAATCTATAGCTTTCAGCGTCGAGAAGGCGTCGCCCGAGGAAACGAGGTAGGTGCGGTATATGTACCTCTCCAGCGAGAGGTAGCGGATCATGGAAAGCATTTCGGCCGTGTGGCCGCCGGAGCCGAGGACGATGAGGATGTGTGAGGGAGAGGTGCGGGGGGGTGCGGGGGGACGGCGGGAGGGGAGGATGGCGAGGATGCGGTGCTGGCGGGGGGTTAGCTGGGAGGGAGGGAGAGAGAACGGGTCGAGGGGGGGACGTACGAAGAAAGTGGTGGCCAGAAGGAGGAGGGCGGCGAGGGCGAGGCGGAGGGGGGTGGGTTCGAATGCCATTGTGAGGGTGGGAGCTATGAGAGATGCGATGCCATATTGTGGTTCGGTGCAGGCGGATTGGCCACGTCGCGTTTGATGCCGAGGTGAGGTGAGGTGAGTTGAGGTGGATTGGGCTCCTGTATTTTCATGTGTTTGTGTATTAGAACTTGGATATAAGCTTTCATACGCGCAATGCCTCGTATTTGGCGTCAAATATCCAAATTTCTCCGGCTTCTTGTCGACTTTCAATAGCTGATAGCAGCTCCAAGTTTACAATGGTAACAGGTACAGGTCTACGCAGCGGAACCACTCCGCGTGGCCCCTGCCGCATTAGCGGAGGGACCACCCTGCCAGACAACATCTCGATCCCCAAGTTAAGCCTCACGTCAAGCCTCGCCACAAACCACAACATCGCACCTGTCTCGGTCTGCAGACTTGGCTGCTCCGACCGCAGATCCTCCGTATATATAATATAATATCATATCACACATCGTCGTGCATATTACTCCCCGCCGCAGCGAATTTCCGCCTCCCATGCCAGCCAGATGAACTCGATTGCCGCCGACTTCCTCACGAACCTTTTGGCGAGCGAGTCGTTCCGGATTTGGGGGAAAGAGAGCGGGGTGGTTACGGATGAACATGTGGATATATTTGCGGATGGACGGACGTCTGTGATGGGAGAAAGCGCACAGGAAGAAGAGAGGGCTGGGGGAGGTGGGGAGGGACAAGGGGAGCAAGGGGCAGATGGGGTGACACAGGTTCAGGGAGGTCAAGAGGGCATACTCGAAGATGAGGGCGGGGGAGAGGCTTTGACTGGACGTCAATCTGAGTCTAGATCACCTGTTCAAGAAGAAGGCGCTGAGAATGCTGTACAACCACAAAGCGGCCTCGAAAGCGACCCAGTTCCGAGCAGGTCGGAAACGGAACTGCCCATTCGGCAGCCAACTGGGACACCGGCAACTGGGGATGACAACCCCGAACCTACAACACCAGACAGGGCCCAGAGCTCCCCAACGCCGCCTATAAGCCCGTCAGACCCCCAGGCCGAAAGCTCTACACAAGGGAGCTCTGCTGCCCCGACCAGGCAGGCCAGTGAGCAGCCGCCAATAAACCCGTCAGACCCCCAGGCCGAAAGATCTACACAAGCAGAGTCTGCTGCCCGGGCTGAAGATGCCAGTGAGAAGCCGCCTACCGCATTGCCAGAAGATGATGGCATGCGCGCACTACGGGAGAGGGTTCTCCACATACAAGTACAAGATATTCCTACGGATGAGAAGGCGCGGCTGATGCATGAGCTCCTGACGGAAGGATATATCAAGTCTCAAGTCGGCCAGGAGAAGTCGTCTACGGTACCGCCTTCGCCAGTTACGGTAGTGAGCCAGGAGCGGCCAACGACCCCCACATCGACAAGCTCTTTTAGCTTCTGGCCTGGGAAGGACAATTCTCATTCTCCTGAAAAGGGAGATACTGTTACATTCCATTTGACACAGGATGACCTTAAACCAACATATGCGCCTCTGCCCCCTCCAGTCGAAGGAGCTTCCGATGGCAGCGACGATGTAGAGCAAGCTCAAGTATTTGGCTGTCAGCATTACAAACGGAATGTCAAGCTTCAGTGCTTCACATGCAACAAATGGTATACGTGTAGGCTCTGCCATGATGCAGCTGAGAACCATACGTTACCACGGAGGGAGACCAAAAACATGCTTTGCATGATCTGTGGGACCACCCAGCGAGCAGCTGAAATATGCACTCACTGCACAGGCCGCGCCGCGAACTACTACTGTGACATTTGCCATCTTTGGGAAGATGATCCGAACAGGAGTATTTATCATTGTAATGACTGCGGGATCTGTAGAGTCGGTGTGGGGCTCGGGAAGGACTTCTTCCATTGCAAGGTTAGCCTTCTATCTCCCTCCAGCTTTCAATAGTCTAACATGCCTCGGAGACGTGCGGCCTCTGCATGAACATCTCAATGGAAATGTCCCATAAATGCATTGAGCGGTCCAGCGATTGCGACTGCCCCATCTGCCACGAGTATATGTTCACATCTCCGCAGACTGTGGTGTTCATGAAATGCGGACATACCATCCACAAGCACTGCTACCATGCACATCTGGAGAATTCGTATAAGTGTCCAATCTGCCAGCAGACGATCGTGAATATGGAGACTCAGTTCCGCACCCTTGATAGGGCCATCGAAGTGCAGCCCATGCCGGAGCAGTTCCAGGATACGAAAGCTATGATCACTTGTAATGATTGCAGAGCCAAGAGCGCGGTGCCGTATCATTGGCTAGGACTCAAGTGCGCAGTTTGCGACAGCTACAACACAATACAGCTGAATATTATCAATGACGAGGTATTGGCACCGCCTGCCGAGGCAGCGGGACATGGGGATACTGCTGCAGAGGGTGCGACGGCGGAGATGGCTATACCAGTACCAAGATCGAGGAGGCACTCATTGAGTGCTGAGCAGACCCTGGCTCCGAGGGATTATAGTTCTGGGCTAGCTCCAGACGTACCGTCGAGGATTGGCAGGTCGATGTCGCCTGTGCGGGGGAGGTACTTCACCCAGGGAGAACCTCCAGCGGCAGATGATGCTGAGGTTTGGGATGATGAGGATACGGATTTTTGGGGACGGACACCGCAGGACCTCGCGGTGGACGGGGACGAGGAAGAGGAAGAGGAAGAGGAAGATGATGAGGATGACTTGGACCTGTCTTTGGAAGAAGAAGAAGAAGATGATGATGATGATGATGATATTGATACGATGGAGTTATTTGGGCATCGCTAGCAGGAAGCTACGGGCATAGATGGTTTTGGCGTTACGATTCGCGTAGGGTCGTTGGGATGCATATGGCATGACTATCCATTGGGTGAAGGCCGAGAGGGCGCAAGAGGATCGAGATTAAACGAGACCACCATTCCGAGTCTCCTCTGGACAGGACCGCATGTAACAATATAATGAGCGGCAGCAGAAATATCAAATATCCAAATTACTACACGCATGAAACTTGATTCCCAGTCTAGGAGAGAGTATCATCTGTCATAGCCGTCATCTATCCATCCACTTCAAGCTTGGTAGCCCATAAAAACGCCTGTGTATGCATGGTAATCATCCCAGTCACCCACACTCCTCCCAACAGCCTCCGTAGGCCTCGTATAAAGCTCAAAGCCCGCAGCCCCATCCCCAGCCCTACCTCTGCGCCTGGTCAAACTCTCTCTTCCCCTCCTCAGCCTCCCGTCTCAGCTCCTTGATAACAGTCTACTTTTCGTCAGTATCTTCCCCACCACCAGCCACGCCGCGCAGCACTCACAGCCAAAGCCTCGGGATTAACCCCATTCTCCACCATACTGACACAAAGACTCAACGTGTGCCGGTCAAGATTCGTGTTCTGCCCATGTCAGTGTTTACTTCGCTGGCGGGGAGGAAGTTGTGCGCGTACGAGGAGCGTCGCAATCTCATCAAGGATATCGACAACTTCGCGGGCGGCGTTGCGCTTCTCTACGAACGGGGAGTCTGCTGGGGGCATCTTGTTCGGTGTGTGGAGTTGGGCGCTCTATTGATTGTTGTTTTGGTGTTGGCGAGGATGGGAGACGCGGGTTGTGAGCTGGCGCGATCGACAGACAAGGCTATGTGCTTGTATTTGGCAAGGCTGAGGGACTGGGGAGTAATGTATGGAGTGATGACTTCATTAGATCTTTCAGATGCTAAACTACTCGTAAGGCGTCAACAGTTAGGTTCTATAAGTGTAGGGTGTAGGTTATTTACTATTATTTAATTTCCTATTTCTCAATTCCTCAACATCCTTTCCTCTACTCACTCTCCTGTCAAACTGACGATTCTCAATCTCACATCCCACTCACAAGCCTCTCTCACAGTTATCCATGGCCGACAGCCACGATATCAAAGTCCCCTCCCCCGAAAACGTCGTTCTCCGTGGCGGCTGCCGCTGCGGAAACATAACCTACACCTCCACCAGCCTCAGGTGGCTTAAGCATCGGCAACACATCCGACGAGTCCGGGCTGAGCACCTATGAGGCGAATCCGTGGGCGCGGCGGGGATTTTGCGGGAACTGCGGGAGCCCGGTTAGGTTACATTCTGCGACTAGACCAAAGGATATTAGTACTGTGACGGGGAGTATTGATGAGCGTAGTGTGAAGGGGGAGCTGATGAAGCCGACTGAGCATATTTTCTTCGAGGGGAAAGCGGGGTGGTTTGATTTGCCGGAGGATGGGTTGGGGAGGTTTGAGAGGTTTAGTGAGGGGGAGTCTGATGAGAAGATTAAGGCGTGGATGGAGGAGCATGGGGAGAAGGGGGGTAAGGAAAAGGGGTCGTAGTGTACTGGTGGAGTATCTAGCTTTCATGTAAATAGGAGCTCGCGGTTAGACGCTTCGCTCCCAGTAGGAATAAGCAAGTTGTCTTGTGGGAAGCAAGATGTCTTGCCCCAACATTTAATTTCCACAACAATTCTATAACGATTCAACAACATGTCTGACCACAAGACTACACTTCGTGAAGCAAAGGAATGGCTCCTTGCAAATCCTTCTGAATTAGTTTCTACTGCTGCAACTATTTTCAAAGTCAAAGCAGATACCCTACGTCGATCAATCCTCCGAGAAACGAACACAACAGCTCAACAAGAACAGCATGGAGGGCACAACAAGCTATTATCAAACACTCAAGTTGTCGCAATCAAACAATGGATACATCGGCAATACAAGAATGGAGCAGGTGCTACAAAGCAGATGATATATGCTGCTCTCTGTCATATACGTGATCCATTACCACCGCCATCGGATAGTTGGATGAGAAAATTTGTCCAACATGAGCTTTCTGAATTTCATACAATTACTACAAAGCCTATATCACGACAGCGAACAACAGCACATGATGAAACAGTAGTTGAAGAATGGTTTCAAAGATATACTACATTTCTACAAGAGCATGGGATAAAGCAAGAGCATAGTTGCAAACCATGCAACTTATGGAATATGGATGAAACAGGATTTCGAATTGGAATCCCAGGTGGTGAACAAGTCATGGTGCCTATTGGAATATACGAACTCTACACACCAAGTCCTGAAAACAAGAGTTCCCTTACTGTTGTTGAAGCTGTCTCTGCAAGTGGGCAAGTGATTCCACCTGTTATTATCATACAGGGCAAAACTCATATGGAATCTTGGTACCATAAGAATCTTCAAGAAGAGAGGATTCTACTTTCAGACTCTGGATAATCAACGACGAACTTGCAATTGAATGGTTAACACACTTTATTAAACATACAAAAAGCACACAAGATTCAGAGCCAAAGGTCCTCTTGCTTGATTCTCATGCAAGTCATCATTGCCCTCAATTTGCAATCCTTGCAGAGAAGCATAGAACTATTATTCATGCATTTGAGAATGCATGAGTATGGCCGATTGATAGTACTACTGCTCTTCAGAAGATCAAGAAATACAAAGCCAACACAATCTCAATTTGAAGAACAACTCCCTCTAACATTTAAAGGTTGGAAGTACAGATTCCAAGATGGAAAGCAAAGGTTCCTGACTTGCTAAGCAGTCCATCAAGGCAAGGGTTTACTAATTTCATGGATAATGCAGAAGAGGTGTTACTTACAGCACCATTGCAAGAGTTTGATCATTCAGTACTTCAAAAACATGTTTCTACAAATATCAACCAAAGAACAAAAAGCTGTCACACTCTACCAGTTGAGCCTCCACCACTGCATCGCATAATTCTTGGGTAGAGATATGGAAATGGCCCTTTAAAACCACCCTCTTGTAATGGTGGGTGCAGCAGATGTGAGAATCTAGCCACCCAAGGAAGGGGATGATTTTACTAAGACAACACCTGTCTGTAATGGTGGGTGCACCAGATGTGAGAATCTAGCCACCCAAGGAAGGGATGAATTTACTAAGACAACACACTGTCTTAGGAAAAAGAGCCAAAGGGTCGTAGCTTAGACTATTCCACAACGCAGCAATCAGGTGTGTGATGTAGTGAAGTGGTTCAGACAAGTTGCAACAAATGTTGAGTCTGGGAACTCAGGGGTAAGTCAGAGGTTAACACCTCACTGACTTTTCAGAAACAAGGAGTAACAAGATGAATGCTTGGAAGCTTGGAAAAGACGTGGAAGTATGTGATAGTCGATTTACTGTATTGTCTGCTTGCCCTTTCTTAAGGAAAGGGCAATCCTATTTATGCTAAAGGAGTGTAGTTCTCTCATTTTCCAAGACTTTCCATGACTTACCAGGCTTGGTAACTGTAGTCGACGTAAGAGAATCCCATAGAACCATCTCCTAGGTTCCTAGCCTATAGGAAGTGAAAGGAGGTCCAAGGTCAGAGTACCCCTATAGACAAATTATGTCATAACTTAACCACTCTTGTGGGTAACTAAGGAGCGATGATGTGTAATGAATCATAGAGGGTTGTAGAAGCTTTTGGAGCTATCGTTCATGTTCTAGGCCTCTAGTTGATAGAGATATGTCATGTGTAGTATTAGCCCAGTAACTAAGGAATGATGTCATGTAATGAATCATAGAGGGTTGTAGAGATATGCTATGTGGTCATATCGGCCCAGTAACTAAGGAGCAATGACGTGTAATGAATCATAGAGGGTTGTAGCAATCGTTGAGTAGTATTGCTCTTGTTGTTGGTGTGACAAGCCAAAATATGTATAGTGACTTGTAGGTTTGAGGAGGAGATTTCTAAGTTTGCTCTTGAGTTTGATAGCAAACTGAGTGCAACGAATGTCAGTATGACACCTCTTTCCCTTCGTACGGGTCGCACGCTTCTTTATGATAGACCGTAAGTTGTTGGCATCATGTTGGTGGACGATACTTTGCGCATGAATTTGCTCAGTCCCGGTTGTCAGTTTTTGGATATATCTGCAGACTGGTGTTGCAACAGTCGTATGGTCCTTAATTGTGGAATTAAGTAGCTTATTCGCATCTCGTAGTATCGCTGGATCAGGTGGCGAGCTATTTACAAAGACTTGATTAAAAATATTAAACTGGGTTGGTGTTCTTGGTCTTTCTTGCTCGGGTGTTGCATCGCGGGTCATCGTACGAAGTGCTCTTTGCGGGTTGAATGGGATTAAACCAGCACCGCGCCAGGCAGATTCGATGTTCTGACGATTGCATACATCTGATCGTACTTGAATATATGCTTCCATCCACTCGTACTTCTGTATTCGTACGAGTTGTGCTTGGTTCAAGTGCGATAGTGCCGCTGTCAGCCGTTTTTTGAGAGGGCCAAAAATCGCAACATCAAGCGGCTGCAGCAAGTGTGATGTATGAGGCGGTAGGATAAGAAGCGCAATTCGATTTTGAAGACAGTGTGCTATAAAGCTACCGCTTATATGTAAATCGTGGCCATCACAAATAAGAAGTCGGTGTTGTCTGCCTGCTTTTGCTCAGGTTATCGGTTCAAAAACACGCCTCAACCACTCTATACTGTGAACGTTACTCGTCCAACCCTTTGTATTTGCTGAAAAGAACCATTCATTACGTACGCTATTCGGTATCCAGTTCTGTAAGACGTTCGACCCTTTGAATATCCCGAGCGGTGGTAGAATTGTTCCATCTGCGCAAGTACAGTCCACCATCGAAACCCATTCTTGATGGCCAGGATGAGCCTGGTGCTTTGTACGAAGTGATGAATCGAGTATTATACGCGTTGACTCCATTGTCCCAATCGAAAATCCAGACTCGTCCATGTTATATGTCTTTTTGGACGATTCCGTGTTCTTGGACCACTTTCTGATACGCGTCAAACCACGCGTCAAGCACTGGTTTTGTTGCCCCGTCCATTCGTACGGACTCAATTCGACGTCCAATAGCAACTTTGAGATGTGGGTGTCGTATAATGAATCGGGGAACCCAGTCCTCACCAAGCGTATCATGTGGTTGGAGTTCAAGCACGTCGGGTGTCACATTGTCCAAATTGTATGTTCGTTTTGTACGCACTTCCTCTGCTATTTCTTTTAATAAGCGATGCCCGGGAGAGTACCCACTGATTGTTAAGTCTTTGATCCACTTGAGAAGTACGTTTTCCTGAGCATATGAGAGTTTCTGCTGTTGTTGGCGGGCTTGACGGCGAGATAACCCCCCATTGATGCGTCGCGTAATGTGCTCCGCGTCAACCCCAAGTCCTGGGCAGCCTTATACAAGCTTTTATATTCACCATTTTGAACGCCAGTTATCGCCTGAGTAATACGAGACTCTAAATCCGCCGTCGCTATGCTTTTCCTACGCACCATTGTTGAGTTATTCAAGTTACAAGTTGGTAGTCCTCGGTTATCAGTTGCGTTACGACACCCGTTGCGTTACACCACGACTTACGTTACACATAAATACTTGCTTTGATTTAAAGTGGTAGGTTTAGCGAGGCAAGACATCTTGCTTCCCACAAGACAACTTGCTTATTCCGACTGGGAGTGAAGCGACCAGGCGGATCCGACGATTATATTTACATAACATGAACATATAACGATTTTAGAACAAGCATACAGTCATTCGTTCCATTCATTTATCCAAAGGCAATTCCTCTATTTTAGCCCCAAACTCCACAATGCTGCCCACTATATACCCAGCAAGCTTAGCTTCTTAAATTCTCCAATAACTGGCGCCACCTTTGCCCGCTGACTGGCCTCCATGCTCTCCGCCAATACGGCATCGCCTCCAATGGGCCTATACCCATTCTCATCCACCTCTCCCTCTTCAACCTCCCTTGCCTCGTCTGCCTGGCCATATACCTCTTTCACGGCATCCTTGCACATCTGCACGACTTCAGCGCCTAGTGCCTCGACAGCCAGAGCACCTTCCCGCATACCCCTGCGCACAAGACCTTCAACGAGTCGTTGAATTTCTTCTCTAGTAGACTCAGCTCGTTCAATTAGGCGGCCAACAGAAGCAACGAGGTATTCTTCCTCGTAAACGGACCCCTTCTTGCCACGAGCGCGCTTGCGCTCCTCTCTGCGCCTATTCTTAGACGTCACCCTCGATGCACCGGTGGCTGCTGTTCCGAGAGACTGTCGGCCAGTGTATCTCGTGAAGAGAGAAGCGGACGTCGACACACCCGATGCTGCGACAGAAATGTCGTCAGGGATGTCGGCATCGCCCTTTGAAGCCTCACCTTCGTAGAATGCAAGTGGGTCCGCAAGCGCTCGCTCACGTAGCTCTCTGATACGTGGCACTTGAGCATTCAGCTGGCCCTTGCATTCAGCCAGTAATTCTGTCGTGACACCTAGAGCGTCCGTGAGGCCTGTCTCTATCACGCCGTTTGCTTCCAGGAGCTCTGGGCATGGCCGGATCGGAGACGTGGCGAGTTCAAAGGCTGCGGCGAAGTAGCTTCCCTTGCAGAATAGTTTGGCTGCCACGGTTGGCGAACCCAGATACGTCGCGTGGATAGTGGCGGCGTCGGAGTAGCTCTTAAGTTCAGCCAAAGAGTCCGCCAGGGACTCCGCGAGGGATGACAACGCAGATGGCAAGGGAGATGTCAGAGAAAGACAGAATAGGGCCTCGCGCCAGTATGTTGGCGATGCGAGGTGGTAGCAGTGGCTCGCTTCCGCATATAGACGTAAAGACTCGTATGCTAAGGCTGCAGCATGATATTGAGACTTTGCCTCCAAGTGCACAGCATAGAGATGTGTTATTTCCGAAAGCCTTGCAGGGACGTAGCGATACAGTGTGAGTGCCGGTTTGTATAGGGCGTGCTTCACTATGTAGGCATCGATCTCGGCACTTCCGTCGACTGGAGACGAGTCCCGAAGAGATGTGAGGGCCTTTGCATGTCGACCGAGGTGGTCATCAATCGAGAATTGTCTCCTTAAAACGGGCATCTCCTGAAGCTTCTGGAGGAATGGCAGGTATTCTCTGGGATCTTTCTGAGACTGTTGAGCAACTAATAATGCAAGGTCCAGGTTATAAAGACCAAGGGCATGCTCATATAGCTTGTTGACGTCGGCAAGGAAGCAAATATGCTCAACTGCTTTATCGGCCATGGATTGATCGGTAGATATTAACAAGGCCACAACCTTCAGACCGTCGTCTAGAGCAGGCGGCGATTTGCATAGGTGCGCTGTGATAATATTCTTAAGGTTGGTTGACTGGCGGTGTGAGAGTATAGAAAGCATAGCGTCGCAGACGCGGTTTACTTTCGAAGTAGTCGATGTGGGCGGTGCCAAAGGCAAGCCATTGGCGATGGGGAGTGCGCCCGAAGGCTTTAATACCCGTGTATCTTTATACAATGTCTGAGTGACGTCTTCTTCCCTCAGCGATGATAAGAAAAGGTCAATGTAGGTAATCTTCTTCACCTGACCAACGAACAGCCCGACATTGGCCAGGAACTGTTCCGGCTGGTAATCGTACAACAGGTTCATGTCGACTCTTTGTGTCCTGCAATGAGAAAACGCTCTCTTGTAGTTCTTTTCGGCGATTAGATTCCGAATTCCAGCGAGGACCATAGCCCGAGGCCAGATAGTCTCCAAATTTCCACGAGGCATCTGCAAAACCAAACTGAGAGATGTTGGCATAGCTGTCACAAGTCGAGACCCACGCTCGAGAGCTCGGCATCTCTCATCCTTCTCCGGGTCGTCATTTGGGACCTCCAGTTCTTGGAGATCCGTAATATGCACAAACTTAAGCATGTGAGTTGTAGTAGTAAAAACCAGGTGTAGAGGGGTCGTAAGGAAAGATGTGCAGTTCTTCGCGAGACATCTGGAGTTGGCATAGAGATGACCATTAGGGGATAGCCCAAACGCAATGACATCCTCCCCATGCTGGATAATCTCAACCCAGGGCAGAAATGCGGGAAGCTTGCAGTGGTTGAGGGACGCATCAGCAGGATCGACGCTGTGCACATCTCCAGCCGCGCCTTGGATAAACGCGTGATCCTTACCATCCTGCTCAAAGCTCGAAAGACTGATAGCTGGTTCGTGGCTTTGCGGCTTTGTTTCAATCATACGCCCAGACTCGCTGTCGAAGCCATGGAAGCTAATGCTTGATGTGCCATCCTGAAGATTGCGTCTTAAAACCAAAACATTTCCATTCTCATCGAAACTGGCATTGAAATAACTGCTTTCGGAATCTTTCTCGAAGGTGAAGCGGCCGCCGAGAGTAGGAACCGACGATGTGGTTCCTGATACCGCCCAATCATAAACCTCGATACCACTTTGGTGCAACACAGCAATGCGAGAAGTCTCGGCATTAAAGGCAACATCGATTGTGTTCTCTTTTATGAGTAGTTCGTAGTGAGCCATTGGAGGAGGAACATTGGCAGATCTGAGCGGCGTGAGCTTGATATTCTTGCCATCGATAATGGCAACAGCGCCATAATCATGTGGCGGCATCGTAGAGCTCCTCGCAACAGTGAAAATATACTCTATAATGTTGATAACGTCTGCGCTGGCGACAATCATTCGTAGAACCTTCTCCTGGTGCCAGGCTAAAGAGTTTGCAAACGTTGTCTTGGTGGCAATCTCCTGCTTTAGGTACCAGTGATAGTTGCCCATCGTCCAAAATTGCACTCTATCCTCAAATATAACTGCAAGGACAGAAGAATCGTTGTTCCACGCCAAGGAGATGTTCTTCCCGAATGTCCCCATCTCTTCGGGAGTCAGTCTCAAGCTGAACTGCCCGTGACGAAGACCATTTCGCTCAAAGAAAACGATGTCGATACGGTCACTGAACCTTTGAACGCTAGCCATCAGATTCCCTGCAGGTCTCCAACTCAAGGCTCCTTCAAGGTTATCAACAGGCTCACTGACACTGTCAAGCACACCCTCTCTTGAGTAGACTCGAATGAGACGCCGTAAGCCTTCTTGGACTGTAGAGATAGCAACGTATGAACCGTCTCCTCTCCAACTAATCGTCGCTTCTTTCTTGTCGTTCGGGCTCAACAGGCCTTCATCGACCTTCTCTGGCATTGTCGGATCTCGCAGAGCATTCGCCCCTCGCCCCTTAAATTGGGTCTCCTTCTTTCCCCAGCCTACATTGACATGGTTGCTAGCTTTTTGGTCCTCTGCAGTCATTGTCACATCCATAATACCTTCAAAGCCGCGGCTCATGAAGACGACGGTGTCAGCCTTCGTTGTGATCGCCAGGAGTTCCTCATCAGGTGACCACCTCGCTGCGGTGATACCTGCATCGACTGAGCCTACAATCTCAATACGGTCTTTTCCTGGTAATGGTTCCTCTCTAACGACCACAATGTCGCCGCCAGCTAAGACGAGACATGCTGTCTGCGAGTCCCCAAAGTAATATAAGGATAGGATCTCATCACACGCCAGGTCAGGGTTTGGGCATGGTGCGTCCCAGGAAGTAATGACATTATGTTCACTAGAAACCTCGTCAGTAAGCCAATTCCATATGCTGCGTGCAGTGTGGTTTCTCACTTTTTGGTTCCCTTCTTGTTTACTCTGACCAGCTCGACAAGGGTATCATGTTCGCTTGGCCCATATGCCACAATCGCGCTGTCGGAACTTGTATCCCACGCCGTCGCCGCAATGCTCCTTACTGAAAACTCATCGGGACTCCTCCAAGTCTCATACTTGATATTACTTAGATTGCGCATCTTCACAAGCCTCACGTGCTACACGGAGGATCCACGGTGTAGAGTGGCAATATCAAACTTTTTGACGAGGTCATCTTTATCGTTTATCGCCTATCGTCAATTTTCAAGGACATGGCTAGAACGTCGACAGATTTGTGGCCTGGATTTGAAGGCTGTAACCGTTTTTTTGGCATTTATTAGAAATTAGAAATTAAAGTTGTTAATACCACATAGGATTGTAATTATATTGCTACCTTGTATTAGATTAGCCACTTAAAAATCAAATTAAAAAGAAGAGTCCTCTTGGCTATGATTTCAGTGTCAATTCACACCGCTCATGCACATAAGTGTCCACGTTCCAGCCTGCTTTATGGGAAGCGAGACCTTCAATCACGATATCATCCGATAACTAGACGTCAACTCCACCTTCTTCACCTTATAAAGCTCAAGAATTCTCCCAAACTTGGCTATAAGTCAATAGCACAACCGCCAGTATGGATGAGGCATACAACCAACACTATCCGCACATTCGGCTCCACAACCGTTCCTCGACCTCACTGAACGCCCTCTCTCTCGCGCCCCTCACCTCCCGATTCCCCATTGATGATGCGGACGAAGCTCAGACTCCACAACCTCCACAACCTCCACGACCTGAACACCGCCTCTCATACCTAGAAACTGCCTCTATCCCACCGTCGCCCGGCATTCTGGCCAGCTCCCGCTCCCCGTCGCGCACCAGACCCCGGCGATCCCTGAGCTCATCTGGCATCCCAAAGTCCAAGTCGAGCACACAAATCCACAAAGACGTTACCTCCGCTCACTACCCTAAACCACATGTCCATAAAAGCGGTGCTATTACCCCCGGGCCGCGCCCAACCCACGGAAACAAGCACCGATCTATTGCGTCAGAAGACTTCGCGCTCGGATTCTTCAATCGCAGGAAGCCCGACGACGACGACTGGCTACTCCGCACTGGCTCCCTGATCATCTCAGCCTCGCGCGAGTCGAAGGGCCAAGCATGGCTAGTGTCCCGCGCCAGCTCTACCTCCCTGGCGGGCCTCGATAATGACGACGACTCGGAGGATGACCGTGTCGCTGAATACGGCTTCGTCCGCTCCCGCCGCCCAAGTGGAGACGCCGATGACGAACTATCCCTCGTCACAACTCGATCTTTCGCCGCACACAGCCGGAGCGCTTCGCGCTTTGCCTCCCGCACACAGAGCCGGGCTCACTCGCGTGTACAATCTCGTCGAGGGAGTAGATCGGGGCTGGTTCTCACACCGCTTCAAGCGCAGGAGATGGACAGCTACTTCCAGCTCGCTGGCATCGACATGACGAAACCGGATTTTGTCGATGTCGATGAGGATGCTGAGGCAGAGCCTGCGCAGGCCCGTCATGACGAGATGCTCATGCGGCGGCTTGCGAAGACAGGGACGCTGGGTCTGGGGACGTGGGTGGAGCGGCTGATGGGGTGGAGCCTTTTTGCGGTGGAAGAGGATTGGGAGGAGACGGATGGTGAAGGGGAAGGGGCCGAGACAGAGACTACTGATACGGATGTAGAGGGTTATGGGCGAGGCAGGAAGGAACGAGAACGGAAGCAATGGGGGGAGATGCTTGAGAAGGAGGCAAAGGAGCAAGGTGTTGTGTTGCCCCCGCCGCCGGAAGGATCTGAAGAAGGGGGATGGGGAGATGCGGCTTGGTTGTTGAGTGTTGCTACGAAAGTGCTTCTCTGAGCGTATATAGAAATGCTAATATTAATATTAATGAAAGGATGCTTCGGCGGATTTATTAGAATATGACTTCATTTGTTCCTGCTATCTGATGAACGCACTAAACTGCAATCTGGGAGACGAGACGTATTCGCTTTTCTGAATGCCAATTCTTGAGCCAGTTCAGCCATCCTTTCCCGAATTCAGCCACGCTATTCTCAGTGCGAGTTCTCATGTCGGTTTTACCAACCTTTTCAGAATTCAGCCTGTTGCTCAAAACGCCGTCGCTGCAATGATTTGGTATTATAATGACGCACAAAAGAAATCCCGCGTCCTCCTGTGTATAGCGATGCTTCGAATAAATCTGCTGGGTGTATCATGAGGCGCTCAGCCGTCGGTCAGGTCAATAGGAGTCTCCATTGTCGTCTTCCTTTGCTTTGCAACCGGTGCGTCGCCTGTCAGATCCATAATATCTGAATCGCGGCGCTCTCTTTTGACCATCCTCTCTGGTTTGATCCCTGTCTCTGGTTTTGGGCTCTGGCGGAAGTAAGCTTCTCTTTCGACAAAGGAAAGTTCTGGATGTTTGGTACCTGTTGCCACTGAAAGGCCTCGCGGGCCAAACGCTCTCTTTCTGCTGCTGGCAGGGAATCGAAGAGGTCTATGGATGGAGACCTTTCAATAATCAAGAGTTTGCAGAGTGCATCTACACTGATGTAAGACCCCTAGTATCCGATGCGTTTGAAGGTGGCCCCTTACCTTTAGAGCGGTACCGAAATATGAAGCGAGCCAAGGGCTTGTCCGCTGCGTCAACGTACTCGAAGGCAGAAGTTCTTCGTGGTGGAGCTGCTTTTGCAGGGCCAAAGCTGCAGGAATAACTTGTCAGTATTGGAAATGTTGCTCCTACGCTTCGGAATTTGCACATACGCAGTACCGTGTGAGAGAGCGCGGCCCTTAATAACCTTCTCGGAAATCGAAGTCGCAACATCTTCGGGCGTAGTGTATCTGCTGGGAACGTCCTCTCCTATTTTAACGCGAAAAACGTTGACAATTACCTCCCCCAAATTCGCTGCGGTCTTCATGTCGATCTCCGTCTGCCCAATATCCGAAGCCTCAACTAGATATTTATTAGCGCTGCCCCTCTCTGAGAGAGATTAATGAACTAACCAATGTTGACGACAGCAAATCTGAAAGGTCTGAGGGTTCCTTTTCCAGTTTCATCCACTCCAGAGATCCCTCCTAGCAGCGCGTTCCAGGGACGAGTGTCTGATCTCCCAAATGCCATAAAACGGCCTGCACTCCATTTTCCGTCGACCTTTGCTAAAACGACAAGATCATCTTCTGTTTGTCTATGCTCCTCAAAGGTGGGAAGGACAGAAACTTTCACTCCAAACTCGGTGTCGGATATTGCTTCAATGTACTTCACGACCGTCTTTGACGCCAAGGGCCCATCGACTTCCTCGCTAGCATCTTCAAACTCTTTTCCTGGTTGCCCATTGATCCAAATAGAGACCTCAAGTCCAGTAACTGCATCAATAACAGCCATGGTAAGAGTGCGCGTCGTGGCAAGACGGTAAAGATTCTAAAGGTGAGAATCAGGATAGCAAACGGTTCGGATGATTAAAGAAAGCACAAGCGCGTCAACTTTAGTGCAATAATGTCGAGTAAATCCACGCGCTGCTTATTGGCCACCTTTTTGGTGAATTTGAATGTGCGCCAGAGGTGAAGTCGTACTGTTGTGAGAAACAAGGCTGTGAGGCCGTCGTCGTTTGTTCCGAGTTGTGTATCTGGTCGAAACTACGCGCGCGCAACACCCACGCGAGGCTGCAGCCTTCGAAGACGGGGAGGAGAAGCGAGCCTCTATAATTCTTTCGTTCGCTGGTATGTCGTTCGTGCGGTTTGGAATCCAAGAGGGAGACTAAACTTCTCAAGTAATTAGGGTCTTAGAGTTGACTATAGCGCTCATCGTTTCAGAAGAGTGAGCGAGTATGTAACTAGCGAACGCCCACGCTCTTATTTCAGTCAAGACCTTGGGAAGCCGAAGACATAAGAAGCAAGCCAGAGATAGAAAGCCTCTCATACCATGCTATAAGCTGCGAGGCCTGGGAGACGATGCCGTATTTGAGAAATCCCAAGGACATACCCCTTCTCATGCTTCCAAACCACCATTTAAAATAAGCTGCAACAGTCTTCTCACCACAAGTCAACACCATCTCCACCACAAGTATCACCATCACACCAGTCTCTCATAAAAAAGAAGCCAGCGCACCATCATCTAATTCATCATCTAATTCATCCCCTCTACCCCTCCATCTCATCTATCGAATCCACCTCGCTCGCTATACATCCCCCCCCCATGTCCAACCATAGTACTCACAACATAAATCTTCCCCTTATCCAACTCCACCCCCTTAACTCAATGATCACTTTTCCCAGCCAGCGGAGTCCGCACGCACTTCCCATATACATCGCTCCGCGCCATATCGCTCGCCCTCGAAGTACAAAAAAAAAGGTGACACAAAAAAATGCAAAAGCAAAAAATATCTCAACTCTTCGGAGATGACTCAAAAAATCGAAGTCGCGAGAAAATACCATCATCCAATCTTACAACGATATCATGTCAGTTTTGATATCAAACTCACTCACTCACTCCGTCTCCTCTCATTTCACCCCCCTCGGCCCCAAAAGACTCGGCACAGCCTTCCTCCCCATCCTCTTCCCCCCATTAAGCACTACCCTCGGCACCCCCCCAATAACCCTCGGCTCCATCATAAGCTCCGGATCGAGCCTCGCAGGCATCCTACAAATGACGCTCTTGTACTCGCCCTTGAATGCGCCGCTGGGGCTGGGCACACTAGCGCTTCGCCAGAGGTGATCGGATCGATCTTCCAGGAAGGAGGTCTTGGCTTTGGAGAAGAAGGAGGAGGTTGAGAAGCCGCGGTTGCGCTTGGCGAGGATGATTTCGTCGAAGAAGCGGATGGAGGGGCTGGAGGCGGGGGTGGTTTCACGCTCGTGGATGAATTCGTTGAATGCTGTGGTGTATTAGTGCGTGAGCTCATAGAAGTGGGGGTTGGAGTTGGACATACCCTGCGTTTGCCTTAAAGCGCCAACATAGTCGGACATCTCACCCGGCAGACTCCTCCCGAATCCCTCCATATCAAATGCATATATCTGCTTCGCGGCCTTCTGCTCCTTGGTGGTCGCAGGTCTCAAATGCTTGCGATATGTGTACAGAAAACTAGCGAAGCACCTCACAAAGGAGGCTCTGACCTTGTCCGCGTTGAACGCTGATGGACAGATTAAGCTCACCTGCCCAAGACAACGGGAATGCGCGGTGATGCTGCAGCCGCTGCAGCCGTATGTGCCATCACTATCAGCTTTCTCGTCACATACAGAGCAGACGGATGAAGTATCATGGCTCTCCCAATTGAGACAATGTCCCTCAACCCAAACCGTTTCCGAAGACGAGCTGACGGGCTGCATGAGCATGCTTGGCATAACCGTGCTCGCTGCCAGTGTGCTAACGGCGTAGCTGCTAGGAGCATAACCGTACATGCTCTTGCTGTCTATGGAGATGGCAGATGCTGACAAGGATGCTGAGTGCCCCGCTGTGAAACGTAGCTCTGGCTTGCGGTATGGGATATTGTCGCCCACACCAAAGGACGATGAGCGTCTGGAACTAGACTCAAAATGGCCGGAGCGTTTCTCTTTCAGAGTGCTCGTCAAGGTGAAACCGGACTCGTTGCGAACCATTGGGCTGTTTGGCATGTTCGGGAAATGAGTCGAGTTAGGAGAGATTGATGTCTGTGGCGGACTAGAAGGGGTGTTTGACTTGCTTGTTGACGGACGTTCGACACGAGTGTGATCATTCTTAGACTGTAGGAAGGCATTGAAAACAAGCGGTCGAGACGTCGTTTTAAGGTTTTCTTCAACGAATGTGGTTGAGCTCTGGCTAACAAATTTGGAGAGCGTGCTTGGAGCAGAATTCTGCGTGAATAGCGAGGGAATTTCACCCGAGAATGCATCGTATGGGAAAGTTTCGATGGCATATGGCGGAGGCCCGACAGGAACGCCAAATTTGTTATGGTGTGGTGCCGCTAACTGAAGCAAGGAGAAAAGCTTCCGCCTTTGCTGCCGCGGTAGAGACACAGGCGGTGTAGTAGACTCGATAGAGTCGTTATCCAAATCCACGAGAACATAGTCGTCATCTGGCAAATCAACATTCTCGTATCGTCGCTCAATACCCACAATGTACGGGCAAGGCGCTTCCAATGCGGAGATCAGCCGTGCAGGTAGCACAGGAATGAAGATGCTTGCCCATTTGAATGGGTACAGCAGCGTTATCAATGCCTTGGTCGCTAAATGCAGCATAGCTGTGTGCGACGACAAAAATATAATCCGAGATTCTGATAGGGCGAATTCCAACAAGGCCACGATATTCGGGATTGTCAAGGCCCTGAAGAGAGCATACAAGTCTGCGTTTCTTGACTCGGGTAACTCGTTGACAGCCTCCTTTCGGGCAAATAATCGAAGCTCTCGGACAGCAATTTCGACCTGCGTCTTTGAAGTGATAGGTGACAGTGCCTCGGTGCACAGGTTCACAACATATCGTTCTAGCGGCTGCCACCGGCCCACTTTAGGTGAACTTGGTGGAACTCGTAACACGCCGCTGTCCGTCATAGGCACAATAACAGCCCGAAGCCACTCCTTCCAGAAGCTCGTTAGCCCAGCATCGCGCCCCAGAATCCCATAAGCTCTAGGTGTCCAGAGACCTGTGTCACCATCCGTCAGACCCTCTATTTTTGATGCTGCACCATGTCTCACGGGTCTCAACATGTCCGTCATCAATGTAATCTTCTCTTCGACCGAGCTAATTCGCTCCTCGAGATCGTCACGGGCAGTTGACCCAGAGGCCATCGCCGGGAGCTGAGTAAGGAGTTGCGATAAGTGAGCTCTTTCCCCAGCTAATCTCTCGCCCAGGCTTGCTGCCAACTCCCGTTCTTCATTGGTCATATGGCTCTGACGCCAATCCTCACATTTTCTCTCAACTGCCGCTGCCGCATCGGCGCCAAGTGGTAGCCACACTATCACAGTAATGCCGTATATTTTGGCATTATCATCTCCAGTCATTGCAAACCCGTGCCACGTGGACCGAGGCCTCTCGTCTGAGGAGACAATGTTGATATCGTTAGGGAAAGCGAACATAGGGACATAATCTGGGAAACGTCCCCTTCTCTGCAGTTCGTCCGTTGCTGTCTTCGGTGGGTATCTGTCAAGGAGGACGGGTTCAAGGCGTCGTTTTAAAGGGTGCATATCAGGGTCCGCGTTTAGGGGTTCAGGTGGTGGTATAACGGAATTGTAGTTGCTCAGTCGTTTAGATGTGCGGCTCGAGACTATATGATGTTAGCTAGGTTCTTATCATACACATCAATAGAGTGTTGTATCTTCTCTCTGAGTGTCCAATCTGAAAACCAAGAAGCACAAATAACGACACCTCCATCATGAAAAACGTCTGTGTGCAATTGTTGAGCAGTAAATCACAAAAATATAACTTACCACTTCGGTTTATAGTCTGTTTCTTGGAACTGTTCAGGTCCCTAAAGCTTATCTTCCTCCGTATGCTCCCACCAACCCTTCCAAACGGACTCTTCCTGCCACCCAGTCCCTCCTCATCATGTTTTATCTTCTCTGCCCTAGCCGTCATAGGCGGCCTGCTCTGCATCACCGTGCCCGCGCTGAAGCTCAAATCATCCAAGAATGTCTCGCGCTCATTCGCAAATTTGGACAGCGCCCTATCGAAGTCGAAATCCGACAGACCCTGCTTCAGCGACTCCTGGGTCCCATTGCTCGGCACGGCGCGCACAGTCAGCGAAGATCTGTTGCTGCCGCTATACGTATCGAGTGCTTCGAGGGATTGGATCGAGTTTCGCGCGTCGGTCGACAGGCGCGACAGGCGGTTGAGGGAGCCGCGCGAGTGTCGTGCCGTCGAGCCTCGTGATGCGCTGCCGAGGATCGGCTCGTCTTGTCCCTCTTCGGGGCCTTCTGCTATGGTGTTGTCTCCCACGGGCGGGAGGCTGTTTGTCGTGTGACCGCTGTTGGGAGCTTCGGGGAGGTCGTGGTAGGAAACGGAGTCGATGCCAGCGATCCAGAAGTAGTCCGCGAGGGGAGCTGAGGACGGGTCCATGGTGGGCGTGTGTGTGAGCCGGGCGACTTTGGGGCCTTTGTTTGAACGGTCGCGCGTATAGGAATTATCGCCCAGGGCAAACGATTTGTGAGCTATGTTGTCATCGAAATATAGTTGTGGGGTTGCAACTTTCTGTTTGGCAATTATGCGTGTTGCTAATCGGCTAATGGATGGCCAAGGTTCAAGGAAAGGAAGGGATATAACAGCAAGGCCTGATTGTAACCCAAGATCTCAAAGCGATCATTTGCAGGAGCCCTGTTTTGTTGGGGGAGTGGGAGTTAGGGAGCGTGCTTTGGGTAGAATGAGGGGGAATGTGAGGATATGGATTGAAGATGGAATATGGAGATGCTTGCTTGTGAGATATCGGAAAGACTCCACATTTGGTGGGGCAGTCAGTGTAGAGGGTGCGCGAAATAACGGGACTGACGGGTGGGTTGCGTAGGGATATTTAGGGTGTTAAACGGGTTAAACAGGCCTTCCTTTCGTATCTTTAGGGGACGAACTACAGGGACTTACAGGGACCACAGGGACTTACTACCTTACTAACTCCAGTTACGATCAGTAACTACGATCAGTAAACGAGGTAACCGTACAAAGTTGCCCGTCTATGCGCTGTTTAATATAAAGTGTAGTATGCACTGCCTACCTTTCCCTCGTTTAATACTTATTCCGGTTCCGAGAGAGGAGAGGGAGAGGATCGAAAAAATGACGCTACACCGCTACTACGCTTGCTACTAATCGTCGTGACCAACTTTTCGCTTCGCTTAAGGTTGGAGTAAAGCAATGTGGGAAACGCGCCCGAAGCGAGAGGAAGCAATGTGCGCTCTGTCAAATTGCGACCGTAAGTACCCACACATAGTAATTTATATGTAAAGATACCTAAATAAGCTATTCTACGAAATTATCACTTTCTTACTCCCACTCGCTCTCATACTGGCTCTCATACTGGCTCTCACACTCGCTCTCAATTTGGGGGCCTTCTAGGTCAGGAATTGGCCCCTCGAGCTCCGGAGGAATTGGGATCCCCTCTCTGTGGAACTAGGTAATCATCTTGTTCCGGGCACGCTCTTCCTTTCAGGCCTTAATTCCTGCCCTAAGAAGCCGTTTGCGAGCCTGGTTTAGGGCCTGGCGGGCTACCCGGGCTTCTTTAGCTACGAGCTTCTAGGCTTGAAGCTCGGCTTTCTAGGCCCGAAGCTCGTGAGCGTGAGCTGCTTGGAGCTCACCTCCAAACTGAAGGCCGGCCTAGCTTCGGCTTGCCCGCTTCTTCAACTCCTCAACCTGCCGCTAAGTTAGGCAGTCTGTAGGTCAAGCTCTATAAGCTGGCCTAAGGCTACGACCTCTTCTGTTCCGGTAAGCCAGTTCCTATAGTCTCTTTTACTAAAGCCGTCATAGTTATATGTATTTCGGGCGAGCTGGAATACTATAGTCTTTTTGGCTTAGTAGGATGTAGTGCAAGCGTAACTGTACATCATTATAGTATTCCAGCCTTATAAGCACTAGCATAGGGTAGCTGTGCTCGCAGCTATATGAGATATTGACATTACCTATGACCTACAATCCTTTATAAGGGATCTCATACACATTCGGAAGCAGACTTTTTATGAACCCGATTTTTCCAGTGCTGTAGCCCCTCTTCTATCCCCTGAAAAGTTGAGGGTTTTAGGGTAGAAACCTAGATTAGTAGGCATAGTAGGCATAGGCATAGGTGTAGGCGTAGGCTGTGAGTAGGTGCATAGTTTTGTAAGGGCTGTATTACAGCTTATAGACCAAATACCAGCTTTCTAGAAAGCTGATATTATAAGGCTGGAATACTATAATGATGTACAGTTACGCTTGCACTACATCCTACTAAGCCAAAAAGACTATAGTTGTAAGGACACAGGGCACCCAGCTCACAGTAATAGCATATGAGAGTGCGAGTCGGAGGCTAAACGGATGCTATCCTATAGGTCTACTACGAAGGATACAAAAAAGATGAAGGGGGAACCCCGTTGAGTCTGTTTCCTTAACTCCCGAAACGGGCCCGACTCGGTTATCCCAACCCTAGCCCTGAACCTTCCACCGCAACAGGTCTGCATCGGCCCTGAACCCTATACACTTACCGTCCCCCACTATAGTGTAACTCGCTATATGCTCCTCTACTGGTTCGAAACCCCACCGAGTCGGATTCCATGCTTGTAGTGACCGTAACAGTTCTGAGACAGGTTCTTCGAGTATCTAGGTACGGAGGCATCCTTACAATAGTATTCCAGCTCGCCCGAAATACATATAACTATAATGGCAGCACCCTGTTATAATTACCCCCCCCTTTAGTCTGTGACGTCCTAACACGGATGTAGAGGCTTTTAGCTTATCATCTCGTACTTGCTCCTGGGCCCGTTACTACTTAGGATGCTAAGGTGTGTATATAATAGCTTAAGCCCCTAAGTGTAAAGGATGCCTTCTCATCTCTCACTCTAAGGAGCAGACTCTGAGTAGCTGCGGGTCACGTGTGATCATTTGGGAGGGCTAACCGCGTCGGATGGGTTCTGGGTACTTGAGGGAATTGACTCACGAGGTTCCCCCTGGTCACGTGTGATCATTTGGGTGGGCTAACCGAGTCGGATGGGTTTTGGGTACTTAAGGGAATTGACTCACGGGGTTCCCCCTTCATCTTTTTTGTATCCTTCGTAGTAGACCTATAGGATAGCATCCGTTTAGCCTCCGACTCACACTCTCATATGCTATTACTGTGAGCTGGGTGCCCTGTGTCCTTACATTATACAAAAAAGATCACGCCTGCCAGGGACGGCCGTACTTAAATAATATCCCACACCGGAACGACTCAGGAGAACTATCGTTAAACCATCGACTGCGACTCGGTAACATTTCAGAGGAGAGACCTGACAACTTCAAATAGCCGTGATTCCAGAGATATCACGGACAGCCAGTGGATCAAGGTTTGATTCTTCAGAACAAGCTGGTAAAGTCGCTGACACGTTGGCGCCAAATAGGATACGAGATCCGTAAGAACCCCCTCGTAGCACAGAGGAAATTGTGGACAAGAGCGTTGATAGCTACGAGCTACCAGAAGTCAAGCTCTTTTGTATCGGTACCGATACATACCCGAGGCAATATGTCGAAAAAGCCGACATCAAACATACCCCAAGACAATGACGGTCAATTGCCCCGAATGACTACCAGACAAACCACCGCTGCAGCTACAACCGCTGTGCCATCCGAGGACATCCCGAGTCGAATGGCCTACCTCGAAGCACAGATACAGGAGATCAAGGATCTACTAGTTACCCTGACGGCAGCCCAGACCAGAATCCCGTCCACACCGCTGGTGGACGCCCCCATACCCACAGTCGAAGCTGCGGGGCAACGAACGCCTCGCACACGAAACACCCCTGAGACAGTTCAATTGCCGCCTCTTCAGGACTTTCGTTCTCCATCAATCCCAAGCACGTCACGAATGCACACCGAGGACCCACCGGCTCGCTATAAGAAATCTACCCTCTCGGAGAGAATCACTCCGCGCGATGGGATAGAACATACCTTCCTACAATGGAGCACTTCGATTTGGGACCGACTCGTAGTCAATGAGGACCACTACCTTACCGACGTCTCGAGAAGAGCGTTGATATGGGGAACTACGACCGGCCTGGCTAAGACATACCTAGAGCCCCAATACCTGTCCGCTACGTATGGGTTCTGTAGTGCTGAGGAGATGATGGACCTACTAGGTTCATACTACCTAAGTGCAGCTATCACAGGACAAGTCTCCGAGTCTGAATGGTTTCAGTACATGTGGAACAAGTTGACTCCCCAATTCCGCAGCAGCGTCGCGATCATCAAAAACCAATGGAATGGAGAATACCAGACCATGGTACGAGAACTTACCACCTTCGATCAGGAATGGCGTCGGAACAACGAATTGAATCTGCTACCCGCTCTCACAAGGACGTCCACACGTACCACAGATACGGCAAAGGCGTCAGCGTCGAAGCTGACTCGAGCCACACCCGCTCTGTTCACCCGAACCACGTTCCTCCCCAAGCCAACGATGCCAGAACGTGTGAAGACCGCAGTCCCAGCGTCCTCAGGGAACTGTTTCAAGTGTGGCAAGCCCGGCCATTTCCAGGACAAATGCCCCCTTAACGCTACTATCAAGGAAATTGACCGTAACGATCCCGAGGCAGAAGAACAATGGGAGGAAGCTGTAGTTCAATCAGATGCGTCCCTCGAGGAAAACGACGAGGCCTAGGAGAAGGCTCCTTCCTAGGTCTACGCAAATGTGACCTGCGAGGACTAGACTTACAAGAACTCCTGGGAGGCACCCAGTTCTTAGTCGACACGACCCTGAGTATGAATGGACTCGGTGTGCAAACGAAGTCCCTAGCAGACACAGGAGCAAACGGCTACCTCGTCATTAACAAGCCTTTCGCAATACGACTATCGAAAGCGCTTCAGAGCCCTATACGGAAACTACCCTACTCTGTACCCATACGTGGATTTCAGCGCAAAATCCAAGGCCATGTATTGGAGTATATTCGGTTACACTTAACAGTCGAAGGACGCCGGATATATAACTGCCCCTTTGTACTCCTGGACCTCGGAGCACAAGATGTGATAATTGGAAAGAAGCTTTTCAGCCGCTTCTGAATACTACTCGACTCTGCAAGGAGCCGGTTAGTATGGCCAAAGGAGTACCCGCCGACTCCTCGCTGGAGCAAGGAGATCACATTGCCCTACTACACGCGAGAAACGTCCATTCGACATCCCGCATACCAGCCGGATGCGAATTGCAGGGATGCTGCAATCCACTGCAAAGACAGACGCTGCGCAGGCGGATGCTCGATAAACATGAAGGTGATAACTTCAGGCTATGAAGAGATCACCGATAAGCCACCGAGTCCTACCCGAAACCAGGAGGTTTCTCCCCCATTACTGGTGAAACTGGTACCTACTTTCACACCCATATGTAATGCTGACTTCTAAATGATAGAAGACACAGAGGTTTCTTGCGTAAGGTTGACTTGACAGAGGAGGCAGGGGATTAAACACAAAGGCTTTCCAAGTAACACGTTACAGTATTGTAAAGAATACTATATTGAGTTGAGCACGAAGCTCCTATCTAAGGAAATACCATCTACTTATATAGTGGCGTCATGCCTCATGGGTAGTGGCCGGAAAACCTATCAATTCATTGCCCCAAAGTACCACTGGGTTGGGATGAAGTCTGAGGAATCTGCTTCGACATAGGCTGTCTTGTTTCTATCAAAATGCCTCAAGACAGGAGCTTCTGTGACTGTTTGTTTCAACAGCTCAAATGCAGTTTGGCATGCATGAGTCCATTCGAATATCTGATCCTTTCTGGTAAGGTTCACCAATGGCCTCATGATGCTGGAGTAATTTCAGATGAACCTTCGATAGAAATTGCAGAATCCAATGAAAGCTTGCATATCCCTGAGCGATTTTGGAGTTCGCCATTCCAATATAG